GCGACCTTCGGGATAGGAGCGAGGGGGACAGGCCCTGGAAGGGCTGGTCGTGTCCTGTGGGTTCGGCCGGCCGGCCGGTTATTGGGCTCAGGGGCCGCCGGGGTGCTCGGAGGCGACGGAAGCCTTTCGGGGAAGGCCGTGGGCGAACATCGCCGCCGAAACCGAGCGATTGATTCTCGGTGGGTGGGAAGGCCTGCGCTGCTCGGTGGTCCTGAGACCGAGGTTTTTTGTTGTTGTTGCTTCTGTTTCTTCGGGTCTTGGCAGGACTCCCTTCTTCCCCCGTCACTGAACCTTGGAGACGGTTTAAAAAATAATGTGCCGCCCCCGCTTCCCCGCCAGCATTTTATTTTTTTTAAAACTAAGCGTGTGGGATTTCCACTATCTTATATTTAGGTCACCCCAGAGACTGGCACCAGGTTCTGAGAGAATAGGACAAAGGAGGAACACGCACACCCCCGCACAACTGTGTGTAAATTTCGATAAAAATGCGGGGAAAAGTCCCTTGAAACAACTTGACCATAATGTTTTGGGACACAACAAGTTTGTATGAACTCCAGGGCTGTAGTTCGACCAAACCTTTTACAGAAAAACTAGTTTGTTATTAAATAGTTAACACACACCCCATGAGGCATAAACACTGAGGGCAAGCTCTCCATGGGTGCACAGGTAGAACACAAGTGATAATAATGGTCTTTTTCACATAACCAAAGTCTAGCTCATCTCCTAGTTGGAACAAGTGTGGGGGTTTCCAACAGGCCAATAAGGGAACAGTTGGTTTCCACCTTAGTAGTTTAAAAAAAGTCTTACATAGGATGTAATATTGTATTGTTGCATCTCACCATAGTCAGTTGGTTCAGGGAGCCAAAATAGATATTTACTGTACTGCGTAGATCCAGACTATGACCTAAGATCTCTTTTAGCACGGACAGAAGAACATGGAGATAAAGAGCGAGCCTGTTGCTTGACTAAATCCAAAGTCTGTACTTGAAGAAATGACTGACATCAGTTTGCTCATAGACTTGGTGTACTGTTAGAAGATCTGTGGTCAAAATAACTTTGGTATTTAGATTCTCAGCTTGTGTTGCTGGGAATTAGATACTATCAAGTTTGAAGGAAGGTTCGAGGTTGCTTTCTTACACACACTTAATAGGTATTCTGTAGGAATAAAGCCTGAAGGTTTATTCTGATTTAAAAAAAATAGCAATAAGAACACAAAAATTTTGTTGAGTAGATTGAAGGCCTGTCTAGTCCAATGTCTTGTAGCCACAGTAGCCAGCCAGAGATCTTTGTGGGAAGCCAGGAACAAAAGGGCAAAAGTAGAGTAATATTCTCCTGTTTATGTCCCCCAGCAATTTGTACATACTTAGAAGTGTGCTGCTGCTGATACATTATCTATAGTTACTAGCTCCAGAACTGTCCTGGTGTCCATGAACTTAACTGAATTTCTGTTAAACCTAGTTGGTGGGCATCGCTTCAACCTGCTTAATAGTTTTAACAGTGAGCAAAGAACTGTTTTTTTTTTCATTCTGGATTTTCTAACATCTAATGTTATTGGATAGTGCTAGGTTCTAGTATAGTAAAAGACGGAAAGCCTTTTTTTCTTATTGACTATTAATGTGCTTATGATCAAAGGAATTATCTTGCTAGCTGAATAGCTCAATGAGTTGGAGAATTTGAGTTGAGAGTTCAATTCCCTGCTATGTTTTTTTTGGAGAAGGACAGCCTCTGTAGCCTTGTGAAGACTGCACTGTCCCACATCATCAGTAGAGGAAGGAACTGATAAACCACTTAAGAATACTTTATAACTATAAAACTCTGGCAAGGGTTGTCATAAGTCAGAATTGATTCAATGGCATATAGTTGTAATGTACAAGACTAGAGGTTTTATCTAACCCATGTTTGTTGCTAAAAGTGGCCAGTCAAAAATAACTTGATTATCTTTTGTCCATGTGTTCTGGCAGTAACTAAGCAGATAACAGTCCAAAAATCAGATATGATAGCTTCACGGCTAGAACTGCGCTGCTGTATCTAGGTCACAACACCCTGAAATATACAATCTGTTCATACAGTATTTATCCGATCCAGACCAAGGGCTAATGTAAACTGGTATTGTTATTGATATAGCTGAGAAAGTAGTAGTAATGCAGAGGAAACAAATGGTGTTTGCCAGTTTAGCACTCAGAGCAGTTGTATAAAGCATAAATAGTGCTGATGTGGCATGTCTTTGCATACATACAATTTGGGCTAGGAGTTAAAGTAGTTTCCTGGATACTTATACATTTTTTTAAACTGAAGCACTGGTTTCTTTGAAGCTCAGTATAATTCATTTGCTGTAGCATTTATCCTTGGACAGATATTGCTTAGGAATCAACTTGAAGGGACATTTCTTGCAGCCAGACTGCTGCTTGCTACTGGTTTTTACTAGCCCAGCCAAAAAGCTATAGAGATGGAGCAAACTGTTGGAAAGGGTATTGGCTCTTGAAAATACTTGTCTCTATGCCAGGATTACAAAGAAAACATGTAGACACTGCTTCTTTTTTAAATCTGGCCTTGAATAAGTAGTGAGTGTAAGGCATTGCTATCTGGTTGTTGGTTGTCTCCTAGGTAAGAGGATTCACTCTTAGTACAACCTGACTTTATTAATCATGAGCTACAAGAAGACTAGCCCTCATTGTTACAAAGAGTGTTTATGGTAGTATGTATTTCAGGAAGAAGAACTCATGCTTTCCTGAATGTTTTTATTTAGGCTCAGACAGTTGAGGCAGCTTGAACAAATACATTAATGGTGGAGCTCAGAATGACTGAACCTGATACTGTTAGCAGAGCTGGGAGGGGAATGCACCATAGCTAAAGAGAGCTTGTTTGTTGATGTCTAATCAACTGTTAGATGTGACAGTGATGGGGTGTGGGGAAGGGGTCAGCATTTCTGCTGGAATGTTGACATTACAGTAGCCAGTTGAACAGTGGAGTGTCTGTGTATAGGAAGTTCATCTCTGTTTTTTTGGCAAGAATTGGTAGCTTTCTATTGTGCAATGTGTTTGTCACTGTAGTTGGAATCAGATGCAGGATTTTGAAATGGTTCCTTTGGAGCAGGCATGCATTTGTCCTGTGATATGCTTTCTTGTTACTTGGTTGTCTTGGGCTTTGATCATATCATAGATGGATCTAAGGAACACCCTGTTTTTATTTTAGGGTAATCCACATGCCTGATGAGTCATAAATTCATAAGCTAGAGAAGAATGAGCATTGAAATTAGGTGTCACTAAGTGTTTAACTTCCTTTAGTTTGTATTTACCATTGTTGGCTAAAGCAGGTTACTTTGGCAATCTTCATAACTGCATATAGTGACATGCAAACATTAATAATAAAGTTGGCTCAAATTAGAGGAGTCTTCTCTTCCTTTCATCAGAGTGCACTCAATTCTGAAAAAATGAACTGTCAAGAGGCACTTCACAGCTAAGCCCATGAGACTTTATTGATGGTATAATTAAAGTTTCAATTATAGATTGAAACTTGTCTTTCCTTTAAAAAGAGCTGACAACAAGTGCAGTACTTGGACTCAGAAGAACCAATGGAGAAGGCTGTGCACTGGTACTAGCTTTTTCTTCTGATAGGTTGGGAAAAATGATTTTCAACGGTATTCTGACATAGTGAAATTGGTAGGGTTTTTCCCCCTCAATATTCTAGGGGGAAATTCAGTCAGTATAAAGAACCATTGGTATTTGATACAAGCATTGCCTAGCTTGCTTTGCTTTGCTTTACTGGCAAGATACTGTAATTGTAATAAGAAATAAATCTTGTTGCCATACTTAAAATAGCAGGGGTTTTTATTGGTAGACCAGCTGAATGTAAATGTTTATGCTATACATAAAGTTTGGGAGTATTCTTGAGTAGGAAAAGTAATTAATAGGAATAATAGTTGGAAAGGCCATATGATTACATTTCATTAGTGGTAGGCTGTTTTTCTTTTTGATAGAAGAAGGATGGACTGCTTGTGTTACTTCCACCAGGTAAATTATTATAGTTATGTGTAATAGTTGATGTTTGTGATGATGGAACCCCATTGAGTACCTATATAAAGGTAAACCCCTAATGTATATTTACTGATTTATCTACTCATTCTGTTGGTTCACTTAAAACAACAAGTTACATCACAGTTCTGTTTCTGGTTACTGAATGATGATTTTTCTTTTTTGCATTTCATGATTCAACTATTTGAGTTTTATTTCAGAGGGAAAGTTGTGCTTTCATTATCCAAAGTAAAAATGTTTACTTTTCATTCTTTATATCTCTTCCACCTCATCAATGCATATCAGCCAGTAAGAGTGACCAAATTTAGTATTGCTCTGATTTGAAATGTAAGATTTTTGTATAGTTGTAGGTAGGCTGTGATTATTATCTGACAGCCCCCACAATTGTAGCTGTCAAAATACTCTTACATTACATGTTTTGGGGAAACTCCTGGTGAAGCTGCATGGCTGGCTTTTCCTGTTCTCTGTTTAAAGGGGACCTGTGATACCTGTTTCCCTTCCAAAATATAATATCTTGCTTGATGATTTGCATACATTTCTTGGTTGCTGATTAGTTCTTTCTTTCCATTTCAGGCATGGCCTCACAGCTGCAGGTGTTCTCTCCTCCATCAGTATCTTCGAGTGCCTTCTGCAGTGCCAAGAAACTGAAAATAGAGCCCTCTAGCTGGGATGTTTCAGGACCAAGTAACAGTGACGAGTATTATAGTCACAGCAAAAATCTCTCAGCTGCTCAAGGGCCAGCAAGCTCCTCTCACCAGGTAGCAAACTTCAGCATCCCTGCATATGACCAGAGCCTCCTTCTCCCAGCTCCTTCAGTTGAGCATATTGTGGTTACAGCAGCAGACAGCACTGGCAGTGGTGGAACAACCTCCTTCCAAAATAGCCAGGCCCTAACACACAGGGCTAACATTGCATTGCTGGAACCTTATCAAAAATGTGGATTAAAAAGGAAAAGTGAGGAGGTTGACAGCAACGGTAGCGTGCAAATAATTGAGGAACATCCACCTCTCATGCTGCAAAACAGACCTGCGGTGGGTGCTGCGGCCACAACCACCGCTGTAACAACTAAAACCAGTAGTTCTAGTGGCGAAGGAGATTACCAGCTGGTTCAACATGAAATCCTTTGTTCCATGACAAACAGCTATGAAGTCCTGGAGTTTTTGGGCCGAGGGACCTTTGGGCAGGTGGCAAAATGTTGGAAGCGCAGCACAAAGGAAATTGTAGCTATCAAAATCTTGAAAAACCATCCTTCTTATGCCAGGCAGGGACAGATTGAAGTGAGCATCCTCTCCCGGCTTAGCAGTGAAAATGCTGATGAATACAACTTTGTCCGCTCTTATGAGTGCTTTCAACACAAAAATCACACATGTCTGGTGTTTGAGATGCTGGAGCAGAACTTGTATGACTTTTTAAAACAAAATAAATTTAGCCCCCTGCCTCTGAAATACATTCGGCCAATTTTGCAGCAGGTGGCCACTGCCTTGATGAAACTGAAAAGTTTGGGTCTAATACATGCTGACCTGAAGCCTGAAAACATCATGCTGGTTGATCCTGTGCGACAGCCATACAGGGTGAAGGTCATAGATTTTGGCTCTGCTAGTCATGTGTCAAAAGCTGTGTGCTCTACTTATTTGCAGTCACGCTATTATAGGTAAGTTCCCATTTCATGTCTTCAAACACACTTTTTAATGGTATTATCTTGTCCTGTTTGGCACATAAATGGTATTTTTTTAAGGTTGTAGTGGCTGTTACCTTTCTTACTTTCACTTTTTTCATGTTTGTGTTTCTGCTTGCTTATTTAAGAATAATGACAAGTTTTCCAAGCAAGTGGGAAAATGTTTCTATGTAATAACTCATTCATGAACATTTGAGTTCAGGCTCATAGACCTGACTTCATATCAAGTGAACTGAAGTGAAAATGTCACCAGTTAATATTTAAAAGATGAACTTCTCTATAGTGCTAGAATTTGCATGTGAAATTCAGTATGTTAAACATATTGTTCTACAATTACATAGATATTTTAAACCCCATATAGTTATCCATTTCAAGAAGGTTATGAGTTTTTGTCTCAAACAGTAGTCACCTGCATTGCATAACAATCTACTTGGAATGTAAAAAGCATCTTTATGATCATCATGCTATTTATGAGTATTCCTTGGATTCTAGCATATAGTATTGATACACACTAGATCAGGAATGCATAGCTGTCCATATATTGGACCAGAGCTTCCATCAGCTCTATACAGCATAGCCAAAGGAGATGGAAAACAGGAATTGAAGTGCAACAGCCCTTTGGAGGGCCATGATTGCCCACTAGGTGATGCCTGCAATGCAGTGTTAGGAAGATATAATGTTTGTGTCAATCACCATGGAATTATCAGGGAACTGTAATGTAATGCAGAACAGCAAGCATTGGAGTTTCAAATGGAATACTTCCCTTCCATTTTCAGGAAAGGTCTGTTCATGCATCCAGTTGAGCTGTATGTTTGGAAGTTCAGGGTCATGCAGGCCTTGTCATAGACAAACAACAAGAAACCACTGGAGGCCCTGCTCTTGAGGGATGAAAGTTAAGCCATACTTTTCATCATGATAGTGAAGCCAAAAAAAAAAGGGGGGGGACAGCAGTAAAACAGGGATTGGGATCTGATCACCCAGATTTCTTTCAAGGCTGCCGAAGGTTTTAGTCAGGCTTCAGTTGGGAGAAAAATGCAAATTAAATTGTGCTCCTACTTCTAGAGGGCAGCTGCCTCTACTATATGTATGGTGCAGATCCAGAGTTATGGTGGCATATGCTGTGAAAATTCCTGCTCATACTTCAGAGCTCTGGGATCCACAAACCTGCCCTGAAGCATTTTTCAGCCGTCTGGAATAGATGGGAAGGGGTTGCTGTGGCAGAAGACACACACCCCCCCCAATTTACTTTGAATTTTGCAGTTATACCAGTGGATCATTAGTATTAAATATGGCCCAGAGTAAACAACATACAGAATAATTAGTGATATTAAAAACTGAATCGTGGATTTGAAAAGAGCTTAATTCTGTTAATTATCATGAATATATCCAAGTTGATTCCAAGTTAGCGGAAGCTTTACCAGTTTTAATTGGAAAGCATTAATTATCCTGAATTCTACAAAGGTAAGGCTTGTCATCTCAACCTCTGTCTAGCACTTCATTCTCTCACTTGATATGAGTTTTTGAAGAGTTCTTCACATCCAGTTTGTAGTAATAGATTGACATGTCCCTAATTACATTGCTGTCCTCGTCATTATCAACATGTCATTCAGTTAGCAGCATAAGGAAGTAAACATTTTCTGGATTGAAAGTGTGTTCAAATGTGTGAGCTACCTGTGTGACTGTTCTTGCTAATAAAGCTGAAAAAGTGACAGACCTGTGTAATCAGTCATGATCAAGGGCCTGCTGTTGAATCAGAATCATATGGCTTGCTTTAACTGAGAGGTCCATTACTGTCTGTCTAGCTATGCATGTTAAGTTTAAGATTTTGTAGTGCTCTTTGCTCTGATCAAGTAGGGGTGTCATTTATAACAGGCATGCGGTACCTTAAAATGGAAAAGAATGCCTTTTTGCCACCTAGCTACATTTGAGATCCTTAGCTGATAGGGTACTAACAAACTACAAGCAGCAACATTTCCTGTTCGTGTAGCTAGTCTTTTCTGAAGTCTGGCTGTATCCTTGTATGAATGAAGTAGGAGTGTGAACAACAGCTGCTTAAAGGTGGGAAGCATCCACTGCATCTGAATTTACTCTTCTGTGGTCCTGTGAAATGCAAATCTGCATAGTTTCAGAATAAGGATTTGAATCTAATGCTATTATTGCTTACCTGTTTATAACACTGCTTTAAAGTGAGAAGCCCAGCTGTTGTTTTCAGGGAGGAAATGAAAATTCTGTACTCTTCTTGAGAGAGATCCAGCATAGAATCACAGAAATGAAGCAGAGTCATTCTCAAAAGATAACCCTTGTTCATTCTGCCCTCTCTGCTGGTGCTTTCAGATTCCTAGGTTAATTTGAAATACAGTGGTGCCTCACTTAACGATGATAATTGGTTCCCAAAAAATCGCTGTTAAGCGATTTCATCGCTAAGCAAAACACGGTTTCCCATAGAAATGCATTGAAAACCGGATAATCCATTCCAATGGGAACGGATTGCCGTCCTTAAGCGAAAATTGCCATAGGAAACATCGCTAAGCGAAACACGGTTCCCCAATTGAAATGCATTGAAACCTATTCAATGCATCTCAATGGGGGAAAAATTACAACAAATTTAAAAAGAGTCGGAACAAAGTCAAATTAGTTTAACAAAGAGTTTATTAAGTACACTTATGATTTCAAGCATTCCAAATATTTTTAAACATTTTTAAACATTTAAAAAACAGCCAACATGAGGCTGTCAAAACCATCGTTAAGCGAAACAGAGGGACCCAAACTGTCATCGCTATGCAAAGCATGGTCCCAAACATCGCTATGCGAAAATCACCCATAGGAACCATAGTTAAACGGAGTACAAGATCGCTCCGAAAAAGTCATCGCTAAGCGATTTCATCGTTAAATGAAGCAATCGCTAAGCAAGGCACCACTGTACTTTTTGATTGTTTGTTGTTTTTGTTTTTGTTTTGTGGAAGAGCAATTGGACCAATACAGCCAGCTACACTGTGAAACTTGATTTCAGTCCTGGTAATGCAGATTTATACATTTTGACATTGTCACTTCTAATTATTGGTTACCCAGTTTCAACAAGGTCTAGTGTTTAGGCTGATGTTGAGACCCCTAGTGCAAAATATAAGATATATTAAGCCTTTAAGATGTTCAGATGCTTGGATTTGAGAAGAATTTATTTTTAGATGCACATGCACAAGTATAGTATGTTTAAGATAAAACATTTTCTAATCCAAATGGGGAATATTTTGTCCTGAGTCTATGGTTTAGTGCAGTTTTGTTTTCTGGAATGTTTTTATTATTTGGGAGAGTGCAAAGACTGAAAATATTCTTGAAGTAGGAATATTCAGAATTCATCACAGCAAAATGTTAGTATCTTGGTGCTCCAGCAGTATTTTGCCTGGACAGAAGATTCCCATTGCTCTTTTTCCTTCTGAAATTGCATGGGGAATATAATTAAGTAACAAGAGTCTGTGCTTCTAATTCAGCAGCTATGTCTGCAGTCTTCTCCACCTTGATTAACAAGCAACAAGTGTTACAACACTGAAAGAGTCAAAGGCTGTCTTGTTCAAAGAGTTTGGAAATAAATAACAGAATGAATGTGGATGTGTAGATTTGAGTAACAGCTAATACAGGTACTTGGTACTTGTGTTCATCATGGTTCCTTTTAAGGAAAAAGGGATAATAAAAATATTTTAAAAATAGTAATAAATTGGGGCATTGACAGGGACTATTGGCAACCTTCTACCATAAAGCTACTACATTTATGACCCAATTATGTTTCAAAACTGGTAAGTAGTACTATGTGTAAAAAGGACTCGGGTTTCAACTTTTCAAGGAAGAATGGTGTCCTCACGTATGAATATGACTAGTAGTTGTTCACACTGGTCATACTTTGGGAGCAGGGCAAGAATACATGAAGAATATGACAGCTCTTGCTAAGTCATCTTCAGAGTGTATATAGGATGGCTACTTGACTCTAGTATGCTCATAGTGTATTTGCTTTTGGCACTCCAAGTTCAATCCTGATTGTGGCCTAAAGCAATTATTTTGAATCTGAGTTTGTGTTACAAGCGTTCTCCATATGAAGAAGCCTTCAGTAGAGTTAGTAAATTATATACACCTCTTTGGAGTCTGGCTGTAAAAGATACCCAGAAGAAAACGTGTTGAGAAACATTTCAGAAAGAGTAGAGCTAGGAAGAACAACTGTATAAGTATGCTAGTGCTGTTTTCAAATCCAGTCTTAGTCCCTGTAATTCTGTTTGCCTCATCCCAAAACAGACGGTACAGAAGAATTCAGAAGAAACTGCTCTGGCCATGTGGCTATTTTTAAGAAATGGTGGACTTAACTGAGTTGATGTTTCTTTATCGCCATTGCATCCCCGTAGTGTATATTTGTTGGGAATTGAACTTTGTAAATTTAAGTGCTACATACTTGCAAAAGATAGATATTTTACCAAGCATTTTTTAACTTAGATGAAAGCTAGCTTGTGAATGAGTTTGGTACTGAATGCTAGATGTGATTGCCACCATCCCTTATTAGAAAGTAGCATTTCTTGAGAAATTTGTTTCTGAGTAGCATTTGCACTACAGTGGTGCCCCACTAGATGATTCCCTCGCAAAACGAATCCACATGACAATGAGTTTTTGTGATCACTATAGTGCTTCGCAAAACAGTATTTCCTATGGGCGATTTTCGCTATACGATGTTTCGGACCGTGTTTCACAAGACTTTTTCGGGACCGATTTTTGCAAGATGACAATTTTGACAACTAGGTCTGCGACTCTCAAAACGGGTGTTTTCCGGACCATTTTTCACAAGACAGTGATTTTAACAGCTGATTGGCGCTTTGCAAAACGGTTTCTCTATGGGCAGTTTTCGCAAAACGACAACCATTTGTCCCCATTGGAACGGATTTCAATGCATTCCAATGGGGAACTGCATTTTGCAAGATGATGTTTTCGCAAAACAGCGATTTTCACGGAACGAATTAACATAGTCTTGCGGGGCACCACTATATTTGGTTTGTCATCTGCTTCCATCCTTGTCTTACAGAAAGAGCTACAGGAGTTTTGGAAGAACCTGAAGAGAGCATATGTATGCTTGTTATGTAAAAGAAACTTAAGGGCACAGTCCTGACTAGCTACTATGACTGGGGGCTGGCTGAGCCAGCTAAGCCAGCTAAGACTGTGCTGAATTGACATATCTTGTAGTCTCAGCATGTTGGATGGCACTTAGGGTTACCATGACCATATCCTAACTTTGTAATGGCATGATCGATTAGAGCTGAGAGGGGATTGAATCTCATGTCAATTGAGGACCATCCCTTCCCTGTCCCATTTTGATTCTGCCACCTGGTCTCAGCCAGCACAGTGCTTGTGCCAACAGATCCTCTTTTGCTGACAGTTCAGCCCACAGAAGGAGATTTTGCTGGTACCAGGGCAGATGTGTGACCACATGAGACATCTGCCCATTCTGGAATCACTATACAGTGGTGCCTTGCTTGATAAGGATAATCTGTTCCAGCAAAATCGCTGTAGAACGAAATCGTCATCAAGCAAAAGTAAAAAACCCATTGAAATGCATTGAAAACCGATTCAATGCATTCCAATGCGTGAAATACCTCAGCGCCCAGCGAAGATCCTCCATACAGCGACCATTTTCCAGTGCCTGTGCAGTGAAAAAGCCTTCCTAAACACAGCGGGGAGCCATTTTGAAACAGCAGGCGGCCATTTTGAAACCCAACAATCAGCTGCTTTGATCGTCATAAAGCGAAAAATCGGCTCCCGAAGTAGGGAACCAATCATTGTCAAGCGATTTTTTCCTATTAAAACATAATTTTAACAAAATACTCATCGTTAAGCAATTTCCTCGTCTAACGAGGTAACCGTCAAGCAGGGCACTACTGTACAGTACCTTGAATTTGGATTGCACTGCCTGTTGCCATTTTGTCAAACTTCCTTTTCAATTGTAATGAATGCCTGATATATACCACTGAGCTGTAAATATTGAAGGAAAGATGTATTAGGATACATTCATGTGTCTGAAAAAGTTAATAGCTTTGTTTTTCACACAAGGCTTACAGTTAAGAAGGATAGATATAAAGCAAAAATCCTAACATTTTGTTGTGATTTGATGTTGCATGTGCCTTTCAGGTGTAGAACCTAAAAAGTGTTACATCCATTCCATCACTACTCCTGTGTTTTTTGATAGAAGAAATTTGCGTCTTCACACTGAATGCTGGGGGAAAAAAGTTCCATGCAGAGCAAATGAACAGTACCTCTATTGGCACTCAGATTCATATGTTTTAAAGCGCTGTGTTTCTGGTGATATGGATCCAGGTTGGCTAATGTGTGAATAAAAGGACTCCTTCTGTTCACCAAAGGCACCAGGATGTAGTAGAAGCCTTTTGCTGGAGTGAGGAGAGGGGAAATGACTGCAGCCACTTTTCACATTGTTCCTAGAGGATTGCTGGACCCTATTCATTGGCACAGAGACCTGAAGAAGGACAGAAGAATTAATGGGGAGTTCTCTCTTCCACTTCCTCTGGCACAAGCAGAATCCTGCTAAAAACAGTTTGGGTGCAAGTGTGTCCCACAGAGTTAAACTAATAAACTGTTTGAAAATAGAATGACAGCATGTCTCTTTAGTTAACTATGTTAGGATATTAAATAGAACTGTGCTTTAGTGACTTGTAAACACTCTTCACCCTTCTTTTGTGGCTAGGAGATATTCAGAAGCTTTTGATTGCACTTAGAATTATACACACTTTGCTGTGAATAAGCCAGTTTTCATCAAAAGTGGAAATAATATTTCCAGATACTTGTGTGGAGACACATAAAGAAGGGAGAGCAAAGTAGAGGAGCTAAGGCTTTGCCTGCTGTTTCTGTGTAGCCAGTGGGAACAGCTTTGCTCTGAAAAACCACAGAGTTCTACCAGTATGCATAATTCCTGCCCAAGAGTCCTGCCCAAAGCCTTAAAAAGGTAAAGGTTCCCCTTGACAATTTTTGTCCAGTCGTGTTCGACTCTAGGGGGCAGTGCTCATCCCCGTTTCCAAGCCATAGAGCCAGTGTTTGTCCGAAGACAATCTTCCGTGGTCACATGGCAAGTGCGACTTAGACACGGAACGCTGTTACCTTCCTACCGAGGTGGTCCCTATTGATCTACTTGCATTTGCATACTTTCGAACCGCTAGGTTGGCGGGGGCTGGGGCAAGCAACAGGAGCTGACTCTGTCACGTGGATTCGATCTTACGACTGCTGGTCTTCTGACCCTGCAGCACAGGCTTATGCGGTTTAGCCTGCAGCGCCACCACGTTCAAAGCCTTACACAATGGGAAAGTATTTCTCTGGTTTAAAGTTTAAAAAACTTTTTATATGAAGAGGTACCAGGTTTCCTTGTATCGGTGTGGATGGGAATTTTTCGTGTACAAAATATTCTAAAACAGTTTTGCACAACACTAGACAAATGATATGTTTACATTCCCTCTGTACTGAAGCACCAAAACTTCCAGTGTAATTGGAATAGGTTTCCTATTTTTCCTGCTGACTTGTTTCTTAGCTTTGCATATCTTTTCACATGAAACAGTTTATCCTTTCTTTAAAATAATAAAATGCAGTTGATGACATGGGCAAGCATCAAATAATATGTTTGTCTTGCTGTGTAGCTTAGTTGCTCAGATGTGGTTTACCATTCTGTTCTGAGAAGGGCAGCGTGGATCTAGCTTGCCCAAGGCCACACAAACTGGCTGTATTCACAGGAAGCACAGTGGGGAATAGAACTTCCAACCTTAGGCCCCGCAGCCTGATGCCTAAACGACTGAGCTATCTAGCCAGCACAGCAGCAGATTACCACTGATTAATGGCTTCCTTTTGTGATTTTGAGCTGACTGGATAGTCCATGAGTTAGGTATCTGGCTGTGGAGCAAGAGTTTGGGGGGTCAATTCTGTCTTGTGCATCTCAGAGGAGCCAGCTTGTATGACCTTTGGCAAGCTGAACAGTCCCAGGATGCTCCCAGAAGAAGTAAATGGTAAACTACTTCTGAGTACTCACTACGTAGAAAACCCTAGAAGGGTCACCATAAATCAGAATCAGCTTGACATCATACTATTGTTGTGATTTTGGGGTGAACACAGCTTGCATGCACTGCACAGTGACATGCATCCCAAAATGGCAAAAGAAAGCCTTTAATCAGTAGCAATCTGCTGCTGCTGATGATGCCATTCCTGTTGCTCAGACAGACCGTGCGTGACAGATTTCAGATGTTACCTAGAAATTGGAGGATTTGCTAGAGCACATTTTTGTAAATGTGAAGGGAAACTGCAGCAGCCAGAGATTAGGAGCCCTTGGGATAAAGGGAGAAGCATGGAGTTTAGTAGAGAAGTTAGGTCTGATACTCAACTGTAAATCCTCTTTATGTCAACATTTTAAAATAGATTTCTTCCATTTAGTGGAAAACTCGGCTGCTCTGCCTCTGGAGTGGCTTTTGAGTTCCTTTTTCCAAGCCAGGCCATGTCATTACATTAAACACCAGACTTAAGTTGTAGAATATAGAATTCTGTAGTATTAAACTGGTCAGGGCATTTTCTTGCTAGAATGCTTTTAAAGTACGTAGTATATCAATGCTATACCTATTTGTTAGGAAGTAGTGTTTGCTGAGTTTAGAGGGATTTTCCTCCAAGTTGGTGTATTACCTTTTATGCAAAAGTGAATTAGGTTAGGTATGTCTCTTCTGCTATGTGGTAAGATCTGCTCTCTGACCCCCTTTGCTGTACCGTGCTAGTGTTGTAGAAACTGTGTATGCTATAATTTCTGTTTGAACAGACACTTTGAGATAACAGTATCGGTTCTGACAAGTTCCAGAAGGATATAGATGCTAGTGTGTTTAGTTATGAGGCATCTTAATTGCTAAACAAGCTTGTTAAAGCCTAAGCTTTCATTCACCAGAGCCCACCTTATCAAGCACAACAAATTAAGAGCTCTTGCAGGTCAATGGGCTGGAATACCTGGCTGTAGAACCAGCACTGTGGAATTTGAATCCTCACTATGGCTCCTTGGGGTAGGGCTGGCCAGTATTACCCAGCACATGAGAGCATGTGTGGCTGATGGGGTTGCCTCCCTTGACACTGATGTGACCTTGGGCAAGGTGCATGGTCCTAGAGTGCCACCTGAAGGAGGAATTGGTAATCCACTTCTGAGTACCTTATACCTAGAAAATCCTAAGTCATAATGACCTTGATGGCACATAATTATTATTATAAATTATCTGGGTTGCCACAATAAGTTAGTAGGTTTTCAGATTGTTGCTTTTATAACCACTTTTACTATGTTTCCTTCCTTCCTTTGGTACAAATCTTCATTTATTATGAAAAATCAATTAGATGACCTTTAGCATTTTAATGTATATTTGCATCAATGGAATGTGTGAAGTGTTCATAAGTTCATCCTACAGATTTGTTCAATAATGAATAAATGAAATGTTGCATGTTTTGCAGAGCCCCTGAAATCATTCTGGGTTTGCCATTTTGTGAAGCTATTGATATGTGGTCACTGGGCTGTGTGATAGCTGAACTGTTTCTTGGATGGCCTTTGTATCCAGGAGCTTCAGAATATGATCAGGTAAGTATGTACTGTTTGGGCAACTTCAGTTACAATCTAGATTCTAAGTTATGTTTGATTGGAATATATAGTAACTTTCCCAGTTTACCTGTACACCAGATAACACAAAGGTGCCCAGAGCTGATCCTGAGGTAGTTAACACGTGCAGACCTAAACCTGTTAGGGAATAAGTGTCCCTGAATTTAGCAAGATTTATTTCTGGATGTACACTGTTAGTGTTAGATTACAAATACGCTTGGTAGAAACATCAAATTCATGGGCAAAGGAAGTGAAGACAGCATAAACCCATCTTTCCCCAAGATGGGTTTGTATTAGCAAACTGTTGCCAATTATGCTTCCTAATGAGTTTATAGTTAGCAAAATATTAATGTATACATTTTCTCGTTACATTTATAAGCCCTCTTGTTGAAATGCCATATGTGAAGTGTTCTTCAGGTTAATGTTTTGTACCACTGCTACTCAATGCATGTATCCTCAGTACTATTAACCTTCAATAGGAAAAGTATAGTGCTAGTAAATATGAGTCCCCTTACTCTGAAAATTATATGGTTTCTGTATACAAAAATAAACATTGGCAATTACAAGACCTTTGTTTTAATGTATTTGCTTAATGGGAGATAGATGATCCTTATGATGCAGAGACTAGCAACATTTGAGATGTGTTGAGCCCTAATCAACATAGCAAATTGTGGTAGATGGTAGCAGTGGCAGTTTGTAACAAGTGGGGGAAAATACATAGCTGGCAGAGTTATAACGGCTGACTTGTAAGATTTCTTTGAGATTGTGGCTGGTTTGGGTAGTCTCGTTTGCAGCCAAGCCTTTTTAAAGTCAAATGTGCAAGTATCCTTTAAGGCTGTCTCTGATAAGTGGAAAAAACTTTAACACTTACAATACTTTATTCGTTATACCTGAAACTTCTTCAGATATGATAACTTCTTTAGATATAACTTCTTTAGATATGACATGTGCTCAAATGCCCCTGGAGAACAGTAGTGTTTATTACATTGTTGACAGCACTAGTAATGATTCTATGCTTGATCTCAGTCCAGCATAGTCAGAAACTGGTAATTTAACCCCAAATTGGGACTGAATCATTCAGTAGTGTCCTTATCCTAGGCAACAGTATGAGGATGCATGAAGAGTGCTATACTGTAATAATTTTAACCACTGCATGAAAAACTATGAAACACTGCTAATTTTGTTGTGGTGAGAATATTGTATAAAATTTTTGTTTCATGGGGGGGGGAAGGCTATTTTTCAAGGGGCATTAAAATGTTCCAGTCGAACTCCCAATGATATCCGGTCTCACCTCCAATGATGATCAAGTCTTTATATAGGACTTTAAATGCAGAAATCTAATTTATACAACATTTTTAATGTATTAAGAATTGGACAGATAAATGTGGGATTTTTATGCTTCCAATTGACAAAATATTTGGAGCAATAAGCATAAGAATAAAAAATACTTTAAAAAAGCCTAAGGTTGTAAAGAAAACTTTTTTTTTTTGCTTTATCACAGAACTCATATTTTGTCAGGCTTGCCGGAAACTATTTTAAGACTCATTGGCCTGATGTATTTACTTCTTAAAGTAAACTATATTTTCTTCAGTTACATTTAGCTATCAGGCCAGCCTGATACATCATAGGTATCTTTTTTTCTCTGTTGCAGATACGTTACATTTCACAAACTCAAGGACTTCCAGCTGAGTATCTTCTAAGTGCAGGAACGAAAACGAGCAGGTTTTTTAACAGAGATCCAAACTTGGGATATCCACTATGGAGGCTGAAGGTTTCTCTTTTTCTTGCCCTTTTCACTTTTTTTACTTAAGGAAAATACTTAAGTATGAGCATGTGGAATAGGAAGTCATTGAGGGAGGAGTGGAGTCATAGAGAGGAAGTATTTGGAAAATCAGGCCAGGCTCATTCTCCCTCCGGCCTGCTCTCATCATGCAGTTCTGCTCCTGCATCTGACAAATACGAGACAGTAGAGACGCCCTTTGAGCCACATCCAATAAATGGAGCTGTTATGTTGTAATATGACCACAAGGTGCTGTCAATTGGACTTTCCAAAATGGCTGAACTTCTGTTACTTAGCATAGTAAGTAACAACTGGAGTAGGCCTATTTGAATCAATGGTTGGCTCACCAAATCTCGATTGATTCAGTGGGCCTGCTCCAGTGCAACTTACTATGCTAAACAACAGGATTTCAGCCATTGAATTGCATTTAGATTTTTTTTTAAAATGGGAAGTCTTTGGAAATAACCTTTGGGAAAATTTACAGCAGCTATGCCTGTAGAAAGTTGTAACAATGTTAAGACTTAAGGCATCACCTTTTTTGAGTGCATGTAGTTCACTGTAAACAGTCCTGCAAAATTATATACAGTGGTGCCCCGCATAGCGAAGTTAATCCGTTCCGGATTAACCTTCACTATGGGGAAACATCGCTATATGGAACGAAAAAACCCATTGGAACGCATTAAACTTCGTTTAATGCGTTCCAATGGGGCCCAAACTCACCGTTATGCGATGTTTCCCCATCCCGCCGCCATTTTTGTGCCCTCGGTAAACGAGGGCAGGGCGCGAAAACGCTGTGCGTGGCCATTTTGGGCGTCCGGCGGCCATTTTGGAACTGCCGAACAGCTAATTAAAAAAAATCGCTATGCGAAAATCGGTAAGTGAAACGCTTACTGATTGTCGCAAAGCGAATTTTGGCCATTTAGACCATCGGTATGCGATCGCATTAGCGATTGCTAAATCCGCATCGCTATGCGGATTCATCGTTAAACGGTGCACTTGTTATGCAAGGCACCACTGTACTGTCAAAACCATTTATTTATGCTTTAGTAATGCAATTCTAAAGACACAAACTATCATTTCAGAATCTAAATTCCTCTTCAGAAGCCTTCCATAGCTTGCGTTATGACTGTTTTGTGAAATATTTGACACTTTCCTTAGTCTAGTTTATATTTGACAAAGAAAAACATTAATTGTGGCACTGATGCACTTTCACAAACTTATGTACCAAAATTTGATGTCCAGTCGTTTCTACTGCATTTTATTTGTAATGACTGATTGCTTGTTTGCTTAGCTTTTTTATTGCAAAAGATGTTAACACCTTATACCTATGGTTTGTAATCTGTATTTTATTCCATAGACACCAGAAGAACATGAGTTGGAAACAGGAATAAAATCAAAGGAGGCTCGGAAATATATTTTTAACTGTTTGGATGATATGGCTCAGGTGAGCTATAAATGATAATGAAGCATTTTGAAGTTGAAACATAGAGTTCAGAATCAGAAAAATGTATCTTTGCTCTGCAGGCCAGTTAATTGAGTTCTGTACTCATTGCCTTTTGCAGGAAGGAGACTTTAAATCTTTGCACCCTAAGCTGCTGTGAACTCACTGGGACTTATTTCTAAGTACACATACTTAGAATTGCATTCTTGGTTCAGTAGATTTGTTTTGAACCCGTGTTTTAAAAAATATAAGCAGTGAGATTTTCATTTTACCATCCACATACTTTTGGGGGAACTTTAAACTGCTTTGTGTGCTAAGCAGTTTTGTTTGTCATAGAATGAAAGGTTTTGCAACAGTAAAAGATAAGTTTTAATTTTTTCCCAACAAGGTGAATATGTCGACAGACTTGGAGGGAACAGACATGTTGGCAGAGAAGGCTGACCGAAGAGAATACATTGATTTGTTGAAGAAAATGTTGACAATTGATGCAGATAAGAGGATTACTCCACTGAAGACGCTGAACCATCCGTTTGTGACAATGAACCATCTACTGGATTTCCCACACAGCAACCAGTGAGTTTGTGGTGTGGATGCATGAAACAATGTCAGTTCATTGATTCACATCTATAGCCTGCCTCTGCTAGAAACTTTAGGTTGCAGGAGAGCAGCACATAACACACTGGCTGTATACAGGCTCCAAAGCCATTTTCGTTGACCTCAGTCTCCCCAATATTAAAAAGCTCTTGAAACTAGTATTGTCCCTTATTTTAATGGAGATTTCTCAATCTGCTGCTGATATTTGGTGGCAAACTGGGAGAACTTTCAAATATGCATCTCCTTTTTTGTATGACACTTTATGATTTGCCACCAGAATTTTATAACAGCGGAGTAGCAGTTTACTGTGGATTAGAGGGTGCAGTATTTACTCACATATCTTCCCATGTTGCTCATCTGTTTGTGAGCAGCTAATAAGTCAAGCAGAAGACAAAAAGAACAACAACAAAAACACAAGCTCACTTATAAATCTTGCTAAAAAGTCATAATCAGAGAGACTAAATTAGAACAACATGGCTGAAATGTCATTGCCAGAAGTTACACTGTGTAAGCCTGGATATCAGCAGTGGCATTTTTTTTCAGAAATTAAAATTTCTAGTTCTGCTCTCCCAGAAGATCCTGAGCCCCCTTGGGATCCCTTTCATTGTGGAGAAGCCATTGAGGACCACGAGTAAAAAAAGGCAGGTTTTTAATTTCCAAAAATTGCTGTCAGTAAGACGAACAAGATTTCAGCTGATGTGTTTAATTGAAGAAATTCTTACCTCTTGTTTTAGTGCTAGCACATGATTAAGCTACTTGGTGGCTGCTATCTTTCTTTTTCAGCCTTCCACTGTGGCCTTTGATTTCTCATAGGCAGAAAATATTTATGTCACATACAAATGGTGTGTATAGAGGAGGGGAAGACCAGGGGGTTGTATTGGACACTTTTTAGCTGCTTTTTAACTAGTGTGTGCTTTACCTGAATTATTTAGAATTAGCTGGTACTGACTGTTGCTTGAGTCTTAGAATTGGAATAGATTACTGTATACTACCATAGAAATATAAATGCTAAAATCTTTGATAGCTGCTTATTCATAACCACAGAAAAAAAATCTCTTTTTCAACAAGACTCCAAGTAGACTGAGCAGCTAAGATTTTTTCAAATGCTTACTATATTTCAGTGTGAAATCCTGCTTCCAGAACATGGAGATTTGCAAGCGAAGAGTTAATATGTATGACACAGTTAATCAGATAAAGAGCCCATTCACAACACATGTCGCACCAAACACAAGCACAAACCTCACCATGAGTTTCAACAACCAGCTCAATACTGTGCACCATCAGGTAATTGCTTCCATTATCCTTTTTTGTGAAGAATAATGTGCCAAAGAAAGCTGTTTTGTAATCAGACCTTAGAGCTATTCTTTTAGAGATCTAAACTTTGAAATACATGCAGCCAATCATGTACAGCTACCCCTGTATTGTTTTTGCCTATGAAATCCAGACTTCATTTGAGATGCTGAAATACAGTTAAATCCTCCATAGCCTGGATACTTATTAGAGCTGCTGTTCCTGTATGATGAACCCTCATTTCCAGCTGCATCTCACTAGTTGTTTAGCTCTGAACAGTTAATCAGCTTCAAGGAAAAGGTTAAGGTAGAATAAAAATGCGTTATGAGAACCCAGTTGTAGCAACTAGCAAATTAGACATAATTGCTTTACTTATTTATATCTAAACATTCCTCCGGTGAGTGCAATATGTTGTACATGACTCTTCTCTTTCCCACTTTAACTTTGCAAAAGCCCTATGAGGTAGGCCAGGCTGGGAGAAAGTGACTAACCCAGGATTGTGTAGTGAGTTTCATACTCCAAAGAGAACTTGATATTGGGTCTCCTAAATCGTAGTCCAACACTCTTAACTACTGGAAGTGTGCATATTTTTGTTCTGGAATGAGAACTCCTAAAATTTCTTAGGCATCTTGGGCACTGACTGGGGAATTGTTTGGAGTTGTACATTTTTATGTTTTTGGACTACATCTCTTTTAACCACTGTATTATGCCAGCCACATATCATATATAACAGGTGGGGAAGCTTTTCACTGTCTAGATGTTTTGGACTATAAATCCTCCAGTCTTCTATCAGTTATACTGGGGGAGGGTGATGGTAACTCTACACCAAAACATTTTGGATGGCCAAATATTTCCTGCTGTTGCTATTATGATGTTGTTGCTTTTTAAAGACTAGTGATTGTTCTAATAGAGATATTCTTGTTTTTTCAGGCTAGTGTTTTGGCTTCTAATTCTTCAGCTGCTGCAACTTTGTCTCTGGCAAATTCAGATGTTTCATTGTTGAATTATCAGTCTGCTTTGTACCCATCATCTGCAGCACCAGTTGCTGGTGTGGCTCAGCAAAGTGTTTCCCTTCAACCTGGAACCACACAGATCTGCACCCAGGCAGACCCATTTCAGCAAACCTTCATTGTATGTCCTCCTGCTTTTCAAAGTAAGTGTACTGTTTGCACTAATGGGGCAGTATGTAAATCAGTGAATCAAACAAACATTTTGATATTTTTTTACATATTTATATGAAGAATAATGATTTAAAGATTTTATGAATCTGCATAGCTAGATTATTACATGGCATTTTTGCTTAACAATGATAGTCAATCTAGCATAGTACCTGTGTTCAAATTAAACTGTGAGAAGATTTTGAAATAAATAAAAATTCTAAAATCAGAAATAAGGTGGGATCACACATGAATTTCCAGCCACAGTAGCCAAGTGCAGTATGGCCCATGGCTCCCTTCATGGTCATTGGAAATGTTTTCTTTTCATACATTGCTGCTTTCATTGAAGTATGCAAATAATGGGACTTATGCATCTGGTGGGTTTCATTTGTCACCTTTATACAGTTCATGTTCAACTGAATCACACTGTCCTGAAGGTATAAAAAGTATTAAAGTTGGTTTCCTCCATAGCTGGTTTCTAAAGTTAGTTTCCTCCATAGTTGTGAAATTTTAATTGTAATTAATTAATTATGTAGCATGGGAAAGACCCATGTTGGGAATTTTGGGTTTCATATGCCATGTTGTTGTAGTGAAATACTGAAAGCAGCAATGGTACTTCAGTTTGTGGCAATTTATCATGATTTTGTTCTCGTGTAAGGGAAAAGGCTTTTCAGTTGGTGATATACCAGGGAAAACTGCTCTTTGGTGTTCCTTGTCTGAATGGCAATGCTGCTGCATTATGAGCATACATAAACTTTAGCTTTGCTGAAAATTTATGTTAGTATGTATTTTCAATCTCTCTTCTTTTTTTCTTTTTGCATCTTTTTGTATTCCTCCCCAATTTTTCTTTTAAACAATAGCTGCTGCTATTAATCTTCTTAGAGTCACAGCAGGGCCTACTTTTACCATCAGCACAAGCCAGCTCCTTGTGCTGACTGTAGCAGATTGATTTCACCTTTCTGAGTCTTAATAATTACAACTGTTATTGAAGCTTTGTTATGCTTCATTTGTTAGTAATTGGGCTCCTGAAGACATTTGGATAGTTAGGAAAGCAGATTAACCATGACCTTGTTTTTCTTCCTTACAGCTGGTCTTCAGGCAACCACAAAGCACTCTGGTTTTCCTGTAAGAATGGACAATGCTGTTCCACTTGTGCCACAGGCACCAGCAGCTCAGCCATTACAGATACAGTCAGGAGTTCTTACGCAGGTAAAAGTGGGAGCAGCAGAGTAATGTTACAGATACCTTTGGATAATATTGTGTGAAGAAGTTGGGAACTGGAAATTCTTGGTTCTTTTGAAGTCATTGGCAGAGTCCTGCCTACTAAAGACAAGACAAGACAACAGAACATGGCTGCTAGGGTGTTATTTAAACCTACTTACCTTCCTGCTTATGGACTTTATAAATATGGATTAAATGTTTCCCAATACCAAGATTAAGCAAAATCAAGCAATTTTCATTTACAAGTGCAGATATGCCATTTTACCTATTGCAGAATATGTTCACAAATAATATTTTAATTATAATTAATATAGGAGATACTATAAACAGATAAAGGTCTTATATTTAGTTTAAGTGAATACCTCATCATATTTCCTTTTTCTGTTCACAAGTAGTACTTTTTACATTGCCATTGCTTCCTCTTGTGAAGATGAGTTGAGAAAATGAATACTATATAAAATATGTAGTTCAATATTTTTAATACTCTTGGCTCATTTTGTATTCTGTCATGAAAACAAAACAGTTTCTGTTTCCAGAAATACTTTTGTATTTGATGTATATTTAAATGGATGTTTGTTCCAAAATCTAAACCATAAGAAATAGTTATAGTTACATAAATTATTTGTGAACTTAATCTCATGGTTTTTGCAGTGGGACTTGGGTTGCGTCATTGCAAACACTGTTTCAGGCAGGCATGATTAAATTAAATGTGTCCAATTATTTGTTGCTTTTTAATGTTTCTAGTGCAAGGCATTTGGAAGCACTCAAAACTAATAAAATACAGACCTCATTCTGTTCTACATAAATGCCACAAATAGTTGGTTTTTTATCTTTCGGCCTAAATTTTTAATCTGTTTGGTTGTAGAACATTTAACTAAATAATGCCAATGATTGAATTACCCTTTATTTACATTTTTAAATAGAAGGCAGTTGTTTCTGCATTCAGGTCAAAAGAACAGAATACTGGTTTACCAATCAGACACTTTCAGTAAATCATTTTTAGATCCATTTCTGTTTCCAAGCCTTCCCTGCACTAGTTTAGAAATCTCTTTTATGATTAAGGTTTGTCTTGAGTGCACCAAACACAGGAGGCTTATTCATTGATACACAAGTGTGCTTAATATCAATTTATACATGAGGTTTTGAATTGTTGGTAGAAGAGCATATTGATTTTTCACTGCATACCTATGAATTCTGGAAGCCACTCAAAAACACCACTGCTATCCTTGGGGAGAAAGCCTTTCTGGCCCTGTTGCCTCAGTACATTTGTTTCACTCACTGCCTAATCTACATTTCAGGGAAGCTGTACACCACTAATGGTAGCAACTCTTCATCCTCAAGTAGCCACCATCACGCCGCAGTATGCGGTACCCTTTACTCTGAACTGCGCAGCCGGCCGGCCAGCGCTAGTAGAACAGACGGCTGCAGTACTGGTAATTGCCTCCCTTGATTGTGTTCACTAACGGAGTTTTTGTTTTAACTTAGAGTTGCAGAGGGCATGGAAGCATGTGCCATCTTGTGGCTGTGTTCTTGCTACATCTTAATGTCTCGTTGTTTTTCCTCCCCAACATTGCTGAAGCACTGTCTGACTCTGATGTGTAGTGTTGCTCTGTAAAGAATCCAGATCCACTGACTGTTGTTCTTTACTAGCCTAGAATGCTGATCAAGCTCTTCTCCTAGCCTGAGAAGAGTGGTAATTGTATTTCTTCTTTTCTTTACTCTCCTATCTTTTTTAATATTTCATTGATTGAGAACAAAGAGGATGGCCCTTAGATTGACTTTGCCAGAGATATCTGGGTAGTCATGATTTGACAAGTTTAGCTCTCTCTCTCTCTCTCTCTCTGTTTTTTTTTAAAAGCTTCTTTGCATGTAAAAATGTTTCAGGCACTCAAAGCCTCTGATATCAGCAAATGCTTTATTAATTTATGGCTTTAACAATTCAGATTTCTTAACCTTCTTTGACCAGTGACAACCCTAATTCTCCCTGGCCTTTCATTATTTCTTATCAATCACTGGCAGTGTGCATCATCTGCAGAGAGATGTTGCTTCCAACCTGCTTTCAATTCCATTTACATTTCTTGGTTGAGATTAAAGGTGAGCTCTTAGATCTCTAAACTGAGGTTAGTTTGTTCTTAAATTCACTACAGATACTAAAGGAAGCAGTATACATTTTCGTAACGTATTTTCTCATTCTGGGGTCATCTGGTACCTTAGTGGAATTTGCGTTGAAAGTGCCACAAAACGGGTCAGTTTGAAAATCACAGAATCAGATCAGTGAAGCTGATGAAAACATTGCAGTGCACTTAATATCCTCACATGTCTTGCAAAGCACACTTCCATGTGTTACATACATTGTTGTCTTATGTGGCTTTAAAGTGACAATTCCAGAGTATCTTTTCCAGTGGAGAGACGTAAGCCATTGTTGACCCTAGCTGGAATGAAAGTCTCACCAAGACAAATGGCTGCTCCTTACAGCATTGTTGCACATATACCAGAGTGTGCAACTTAGCAGGCAAGCCAGGTTCTTAAACATGAGAACTGCAAGGGCAGAAAATATCACTAAATGTTTCATGGGTCTCTTGTCTGCCTTCCTGCGTTCAATTAAGATGTAATTGCAGTTGCTGTAACATGTGGAACTTAGAAAGTAGAATCTAAAAGTTACCTGATTAGTTCCTTTCTGAGAACTCTTTTGAGTTTCTCAGCCAGTAGGCCAATCTGATCAAGTCCTCTAAATTTACTTGAGGAAACTGAATTTACAGCTCTAAACTTAATCAAAACATGCTGCTGAGAAAAGCTGAATTTTGAGACCTCTATAAATTATGCAAATTAATCACAGTGCATATACATGCTACATTTGTGTAATTCTCCTTTCTGCTTAGGAGAAGAGCTCAGCAAGGTGCTTACCACTTGATCTACTTTTCTGCTTGAGCCCCTTCTCTCTTCTCAGATTTCCCCAGGTGCTGCCTGTGCTCTTTCAAATATCTTCATAGCCTTAAGGATTAGAAATTTGCTTTAGAGCAGCAACAGATAACGCTAAGGTTCTTGGGATACAGAATTTTGCACCTCTGCTAATTTCTCTATTCATGTGGTGCAGTGACAGAATATTCATTCCTCTGACTAAATTGCCTGGCTCTTTGTACCCTCCTTTTCTCACTGTGAATTTGGCTTCTAAGAGCCTTTTGCCTGAAGTGCTCACCTTTAGTGCTTTCAACACTTCTCCCTTTTGCCGCTTCATCTAAGTTTGCATCACCCATGCTAAGCTTTGCATATTTTTGTCCCTCCTCTGTCAAAACAGTTCGTCGCTTGGAAGGCCCGATTTCTGCCTCCTGGTGGGACATTAGATCTCGCACTGTATTAAACTCTCTGCTTTGTCTTGTGCAGGTGTTGGCTTTTGGAAAGAGGCATGGTGTGACTTTTAACATGATTCTCTTTTTTTAAAAATTACTCCGCTTGTGTTGGCAGAGGGGTTAGCAGTTCTCTGCTTGAAGGCTTCTTGTTGGGAACCAGTGTTTGTAATAAGTGGACTTGTTACTTGCAGAAATATGTCGTATAAAAAGACATCTGAAGCAGTTTGAACTGCATGAAATAAGACCAATGTATTGTATTCTGAAAATATTTTACTGCAGAACGTGTATTTTGTGAAAAAAAATCTGTGTTGGGGGACCTCTGCTCTTCAGATTTATTGTTTCAGTGGCAGGAACCACAAATACATTAATTAAATAAAATTTCGCTGATCATCAGGAATTTTACTCCACTGTTGGGAGTGCAGAGTTTTGAAGAAGCTGCCAACTTAATGAGGCAGAGTGTGCCTCTTAAATAGCAGTGAATTGTGTTTAACACTTTGTGTAGTAAGATGAATGGGATTGTTTGCTGGAAGCACAAACTGTCCATTCCCATAACTTAGTTTTAAAGACAACATCACAAGATCACATCTGAAGTAAATGCAAAAAGGATGCACGTAATTTGAATCTACATATTATGAAATGTGGTAGCTGATTTTCAGTGGCTTCTAGAGACAATGTTTGGCCCCCTCAGTTCTATTAAAACATGTGGATCTTCTTCAATAAAAATAGTGTGCAAGTGGTCAGATTTCATCCATTATTTTGAAAGTGACTTGAATGTATTTTGAAAATATTTAAGATTGCAAATAGCCACATAACTGTAATGCTCTCTTGCAGTTCATTCAGTTAGCTGCTCAATTCAGTGTGCATAGATAGGTCCACATGGTTACCGTGCTTAGCCCTAATATCAGGCTGCCTATTTGCTCAGAAGGTTTACTAAAATTGTTGCCTTCTCTTTTCCTCTAGCACTGTACCACTATGTGTCTACAAGTAAGCATGCAGAGATCCTCTGCCTTGTTTGTGCATTTAGCTTGTTGATCGGTGTAAAGGTCTGTGATTTGCTGAACATGAAGAGGGAGATTTGAACCCCTACTGGTTACACCGATCAAACACACCCTTTCCCTCCTGATGTCTTGACATCTCCAAGGACGGCTCCTTGCCAGTTAAAAAACACTGACTTCAAAGGTCAGATGTGTCACTTCTGGTGTCCAGCATCCAATGAATTCCTTAGGTGCTTTAAGGAGATTATTATTTTAAAAAATGTGGTGGGGAAAATACATGTTCTGCAGTACAATAAAACTATTAAGCTTCTTCCCAGGTGACCCCTGTGATATAAATATTGTACAGAGTGTTTCTTGTTTACTTCCAATAGTAAGATTAATTGCAAAAGTGCTGTCATGTTCCTTTATTTTTGCAAGTTAACAGTCAACTCATTTCTTTTACTTTGAACAAATTAATTTTTCTTCCCCAGCTTCTAAAAAGCTAATCTTAGTGAATCTTTTTGTTTCTCTGTTTGCTGTTTTGCAGCAGGCCTGGCCTGGAGGTACGCAGCAAATTCTGTTGCCTTCCACATGGCAACAGCTTCCAGGGGTTGCACTGCACAATTCTGTCCAGCCTACAGCTGTGATTCCAGAGACAATTGGAAGCAACCAGCAGTTGGCTGACTGGAGGTGAGTACTGAGCACAAAACCAGTTAGTATGTAGAACAGTATAGGGTGGGAAGATTGCAGTTTTTTCAAGTTATTGTAATTGTTAATGCAGAATGGTGGATTGTTAATTAATTAATTAATTATTGTTAATGCAGATGGATTAAAAATAAAAGCACACTTGTGTGCTTTATATTTTAGAAATATAAATAAATATTAGAGCTTCTGTAAGACTACAACATCAGGTGTCTCGCCCCATATAGATGAATGCACTACAGTCAAAAGTTAGTGAATCAATATCTGCTTGAAGATAGCTTTACATAAAGATTTCATTGATACAACTTACTGTTGACTGAACAAAGGATTTAGTGAGATTCCATAGTCTGTCAGTTGGCAAGTCTTTCCAGATTGAAGAGAGGATAATCCAAAACAAAATCTTCTTGATGTCTGATTGGAGTGGCAAGTGTATATTGTGAGTGTATATAGAAAGGGTGGTGGAACCATTGAGCTCCTTCTGAGGTTTTATTAGATGCACTCCTTTGACCTGTTCTTCTGATGGATTACTCCTGTCAGTGACAGACACAAATTGGATACGGCTTCCTCTGTGTATTTGTGTTTTTCTCTTTTATAGTGCAAAAGAGTGACTGATGTCTGTATTCTCTTCTTACTTCCTTCAGAAATGCCCATTCACATGGAAATCAATACAGCACGATCATGCAGCAACCATCTTTGCTGACCAATCATGTGACTCTGGCTACAACCCAGCCTTTGAATGTTGGAGTGGCTCATGTTGTGAGGCAGCAGCAAAGTAATGTTGTGCCGGCAAAGAAAAACAAACAGCCATCCCATAGTGCCACAAAGTAAGGACTCTCTCAGCCTGACAGTGCGGAACATTCCTAGAGTAGAGAGATGCCACTTATCAGAGGTCCATATTTCTTGGATCCATCTAAAGATGTCTAGGCAGTAAATATAGCAGTAAAACTCCACTTAGAAACAGGCTAAATATCTAGGAAGTTCTGTGTCTATTCAGTTTTGCTGATCTGAGGGCTGTATCTCTCACTTTGTGCTGCTGTAGTAAGAAGTAACAGAAGTTATCTGATTATTGAAGAATGCAGAATTTGAAAAATGAGTAGTGGAAATGGGATATTCAATTTATGCTGTCTTGTAACTTTTTTACTGATATCTTACTGATTTTTTAAGAACCTGAATTGTACATTATAGTTCAAATATATAGTGAAGTGAGTTCATCTCCTTTCAAATTATAAACTGTGTTCTGCTATTTGTAGATGGTCTTGTTTATGGTGACTGTTGTATCTTCTCATAGGCCTGCGTCTACATTAGAGGCCATTCCATCTCAAGTTTACTCTCTAATTGGGAGCAGCCCCCTGCGTGCCACATCTTCTTCCAATGCTGTGGTTTCAGGACAAGATCAGCACCAGCCTATTGTTATTCCAGACACTCCCAGCCCACCAGTCAGTGTAATTACCATCCGCAGTGACACTGATGAAGAGGAAGACAACAAATATAAGCCTGGAAGGTAGAGGTTTAAGCTTTCTCATATGGGAACATCTCATCACCAAAGAAGGATGTGGGAATCAAAAAAGAGTCCTGGTCCATAGCTTAGTGGTAGAACCCATGTTTCGTAAGCAAAAAGTTGTAGATTGACTCCCTGGCATCTCCTGATCATGTTGAGCAAGGACCCCATTTTTAACCCTAGAAAATCACAAGCAGTCAATGAGCTTGATGAATTAAGAATTTAAGAAGAATTCCCTGAATGTTGTAGTTGTGTACTTCATAAAATATTGTAGTAAAGTAGGTGACTTTTTTCTTTTCAGCTTGGGCATGAAACAAAGATCCAATGTTATCAGCTATGTTACAGTTAATGACTCCCCTGATTCAGATTCCTCATTGAACAGCCCTTATGCAGCAGATACACTGTCCACACTCAGAAGTTCTGGAGGTGCACTGGAGCCAAGCAGAGGGGCAGCTGAAAATTCCAACTCCCGTACCATTATTGTGCCTCTGAAAACACAGCTCAATGACTGTATTGTAGCCACGCAGGCCTCAGGTAAGATTGGCTGCATGCAAAACCATGGTCTGTCATAAAATAGATTCTACCTTTCAACCTGATCCTAGCACCTTCTTGTTCACAACTTTCCATTACATTATTCGAAACGTAGAAAAATATAAACAGATGTTAGTGTTTTGGTTTTGCTGAACAATTGGTATTAACCCAATAAAGTAACTGGTTTGCAAATTGTTAGGTTCTTGATGTGGAGGGACATAAATTAAAAGGCTACTGTATATCCTAATAGCCTAATGTTATATGTTAAATATTGCCATGCAAAAGACAGAAAAAATATTAGAGATGGTAGTAAATCTTACCTAAAATTGCCACTAATAGCTAGTTAAGCAGTTAATGACCTTACACTGTCCCACAGCTCCTAGTGGTTTCCTAACAATGAAGACCTTTTCAATAGGAACCTCAGGGACTTATGGGAGGGGGAAGTAATTAGAAGTATTTTATTTAAAAAAAATCACAGTGACTAATGACATCAGGCTTACGTGACATAACTATGTCATGACTATATATTTTCAGTATATTTTTAAATATAGAGAGTTGTTACTAGAAGAGACAAAAGTTTGTCCAACTCCTGTATATATTTCATTATTCTTGAAATTTAAAAAAAACATTAAAAAAACAAATATGTGGTGGCACCTTAAAGACTAACCTTATATTTTTTGATGTGAGCTTTCATGGACAGGTCCACTTCATCAGACATAAGATAAAGTGTCTGATGAAGTGAGCTCGTCCACAAAAGCTCACATCAAAAAATATAAAATTTATTCTTTAACATTCCACCATGTTCTTGTCTTTCCCCCCCTTTTCCTTTTTATTTTGTTTTCACCTATAATGCTTGCAAAGACTAAGACGAGTACCCCTTCCGCAACTTCATTATTCTTGTAATTTACGTCATAATATTGTCCAGTTGTGTATACTTACTGTTTTTAACTTTTAAATACAGTACAGTATTGTCTTTTTAATGATGTAAGCTGCCTTGGGACCTTTTTAAGGAGAAAGACACGGTAAAATATTTTAAATGAAGGAATGAAAATAAAATAGTTTGATTATTGAATTCTGTTTGTTTATACTGACAAACATCTTCAGTTTGATTGCTGGCATTTTAACTTGAGTATTTCATGCTGGTTTTAGTGCTGCCATATTTATTTATTTAGTATATATTTAATGTATATCTTAACTGCTTTAGTTACTTGGTCAAATACAAGATACTGCTGGATAGCTCAGTGGTTTAGGTATCTGACTGTGCAGCCAGAAGTTGGGAGTTTGATTCCCCACTGTGCTTTCTTGACAGGGGTGGACTTGATGATCCATAGGGTCCCTTCCAGCTCTGCAGTTCTAAGGTTGTTGCTGTCACATAATCTGAAATAGATATTAATAACTTGAATACACAGTACTTCAGAAGTAATTTCTGTGCACCTAAGCAGTTTGCAGGGGGTCTGCATTTGCCTTTCAACAATGCACCACTTGCTTTATGGCCAATGAATGTTGAATCTGATAGTACTTTTGGACATAATTTCCAATGTTTGGTGAGCTAACCATCTGATGTTTGGTGAGCTAACCATCATGTCCAGACTTGTAGTACATTCTTGAATCCAAGCCCACAAAATGTATTTTTTTTCTTTTGAAAAGTAGGGTATCCTTTGAATGAAAATTTGTGGTTATTATTGCAGGTGTTTTAAGTAGCTTGAGCAAAACTAAGCCAGTCGCATCCGTAAGTGGGCAAACATCAGGGTGCTGTATTACGCCAACAGGATACCGACAGCACCGGGTGGTGACGAATGGTGTACAGCCTCTTAATCTTAGCCAGGTAACCACTTGTCTTCTGTCATCTGTATCTCATTGTGTTGTCTTTTGCAGAGGCTAGTGACTGAAGCAATTTAAAAAACAATGAAGAGCTCTTGAAATGATAAGGGAAAAACAGGAAATTATTTATTTGTTTGTTAGTTATTTATTCAGTTTGTATCTGCTCTCATTAGTATCATGGCACTACTCTGGGCAGGTTGCAATACATGTAATAGAAAACAGAAATAAAAATATGCTGCTGTATGGCTTCTCCATTCACCTTCTTTAGCCAGCCAATTTTTTTCCACTGGATTTTTTTAGAAATCTGTCGTGTGCTATCTGCTGGGGCAGGTTACAACTTTACTTTGAAATGAAATAAATTACCCTTTTGGTGTCATTTAGGGCTTTTTTTCTGAGCTCCTTTACATTTTCCTTTGCAGTGCTGAACTAGATTAGTCTCAGTATAATGCTTTTTAAGAATGCTTTTTCAATACAGATTTCCCTTCCTTTGCAGAACCAGCAGGCAACAGTATTGGCCTCGCAGGAGAGAAGTGGCAACCCAGCCCCACGCAGACAGCAGGCCTACGTCGCTCCCCTGCCAACAACAATCGCTCAGGCTCCCTATACGTTCCAGCATAGCAGCCCAGTACATCCGCATTTGGCAGCAGCACCGGCAAGCCAGCCTCACATGTATACCTACGCACCCACTACAGCTGCTACATTGGGCTCCACCAACTCCATTGCTCATCTCTTTTCCCCTCAGGGCTCTTCCAGGCACACCACATACACCACCCATCCAAGCACTCTTGTGCACCAGGTCCCGGTGAGTGTGGGACCCAGCTTGCTAACCTCTGCCAACGTAGCACCTGCTCAGTATCAGCATCAGTTTGCCACCCAGTCATACATTGGTGCTTCCAGAGGATCTGCTATTTACACTGGATACCCCCTGAGTCCTACAAAGATTAATCAGTACTCTTACTTATAGCTCTTGGGGAGGGGCCTGACAGTAATCATCCCAACCTGTTCATAAAAATGAAGCTATCTGCAGTAGGTTTGGCAATATTCTAACAGCTCCACCACAAGAACCTCCTCTAAAATCAAAGGATGAAGATGGTGCGGGACCAGCATCTTGATGACACTTTTGTTCATGTTCTCTAGAGTCTGGTTGTAGTATTGGTGGAGCCCTGCTGTTTGGGGGAACTTCAGGTAATAACTGGGCAGAATCTTTTGGATCACACATTAAGATTTTACCATTAATTTTTATGGATGCTTTAAAAACAACAACTAAGGCCTGAACCCCATTTATTTAAAGCTATTGTTACGTTAATCAAAGTGGTGGAGGAGAAAATCAAGGATTTTTTGAAATGGCTTTGTGTTTTTTTAAAAAGAAAAATTCTTATACTTACCTAGTACTTGTTTAAATTATTTTAGCAGCTTGCACAAATCCATATTGCCACTAAAATGCACATTTAACTCTAGGTTGCTAGGTCAAATTTATGAACTTGAGTTAGTATTTTAATTAAAATTTTAAATTCACATTTTTTGATAGGTAGTAGCTGAATTCTGCAAAAGCAGTCTCCCCCGCTCCCAAGTGTGTTTGTATGTGTACATATAGATATATATATATCGCTCACCAGTTTCTTGGTTTTAATACTTTCTGTTTTAAGGTTAGCATAGCAATGTTTGTGTTCCCATTTAAATCATTTTTCTTGTAAAGTATGACTCTTAAATGCTTTTTTAAAAAATTGCAAAAGCATATGAATTTGCTTTCTGCTGTGATCACAGTTTGTGATATGGTTTTTTTGCCCAGAAAGCTTTTGTTGTTGCTGGAAATGCACAGGCCCACATCATTCTTTGAAAAGAGAAACAATAGGGAATTTCTTCTGATGAGGCCTCACTGATATGAACAGGAGGTAATGCAGCAGTTGCTTGTTTCCATAGATTTGTTCAGGCCTTTAGCTTATATATTTTCCCGTTTTAATTTTTACAATATTTGGAGCTGGATTCCTCTCCAAAAATGCAGGGACCTCTTTCCCATCGTGTTTTCCTTTTGTGGTCTATTTAGGTAAGAATGGAATCCAAAATCTGCCAAAACATCAACCTACTGATATGTATAACTTTTTATACTCCTGCAAGCAGATCCCTCTCGGGGCTGGCTGGCAGAAAACTTCAAAGCGCTCTTATTAAGACTTGTATACAGTAAGTGCATGTAGGAATTGCAAAAACATGACACACAATTGCCGATTTTAAAGGTTTATTACTGAATTTAAAACTATTTTAGAAGTTTTGTAATGGTGATGTTTTAATATTTTACAGAAAATGAAATATGTACATATTGATTAGAACAAAATATAACAAGCAAAATTTCCTGCAAATCCTGAATGTTCTGTCTTTGTAATCAAAATGTGTAGTGATTATACTTGAACTCTGTACTTCGTGTTTGTCTAACTCTTAAATGTTTCTGGGGATGAAATTGATCTGTTCCTTTTGTATTTAAACCAAAATGAGTTGATACATGTCGGAATGTATGTGAAATAATGCAATCGTTTAGAGCTCATCACTGTAGCACTGAGAAAGAAAAGAAATGGAGCAGCATGAGAGACAAGGATACCTTCTGATTTGTTTTGCACAGGTATGTGTGACTGATGTGTTCCCCCACCCCCCAACCCATATTGTAGTGCCTTAAATGATTATGTAGTGTGACTAGAGTTTACAGTGAGCTTGCCTTATGATGGACCAGCAAGCCCTTCCGTTCTCCGTCAGACTGAAGTGATTTGTTGAACATATCCAATTGAGGATAGAAATAAGTGGCAAAAATTATGTTGCTTTGTTTCAGTGCAAATGCAAAAGGAGCTAGGTACATGATCCACCCAAAGCTGGGTACTTTTTAAGTCCTATTGCTTTCAGCTAAAAAAGTTCAGGATGTGCGTAACTTGCTCCCACTGAAACTGGTGGCTCACTTCAGACATCAAGCCAACCCCCTGGGTTGATCTAACCATAGCTTAAACCCAGACTGTGGGTTCTGTTTTCAAGTATGCCATAGCTAAACCATGATCTAAAGCTACTTTTTCTCTATCCCCTAAGCACTCGTGCTGGTGTGTCTGTGAGTTCCTTCCTGTGTGGTGCAACCATCTTAGGAGGCTGTAGTTTTGTCAGTTGAGATGACATGGCAAACCACAGTGGTCAGAATCTGTGGCTGCCATTGCCAAAACTCTTCAAATCATGGCTTCTGATTCTCTGCTTTGCTGATTATTTATAGCCCATGGTTTGAAAATTCAGACATCACACTTACGTTAGGTAATCTTCCTTTAACTATGGTTTGGTATGATGTCTGAATTGGGCCTCTGAGACCGGAAAGTACTTCATCTTAGCTGGATTATATCCTAGATGTTTTATTTAGAGTAAGTTTTTCTTGAAATGTTATCTACACTGTTGACTGTTGATGTATCTTTAATAGGCTGTTGTGCTGGGAATGCATTGGGAAATTTATCTGATGTTGCAGAGGTGATTAAGCACGTGCAATTACTTTTCCTTAGATAAATTGTAACATTATCTTCCCCCTTTGTGTGTAGCAGATGTTGTTTGTAAAATATTACTAGCCTGGTGTTAAGAACTTTTTTTTTTACCAAAGAGAGCCTGCTGGAAAGCACATAATATTCTGAAATCTTGTTTAACACCACTAGTAAAGCAGTGCTTTTCCAAAGGTTGGAGAGCTATAGCACTTCGTGTCATGAGGAAATGCACACTTGAACTGGCCTGCTGGAGGTGTGCTTTTAAATCACAACTTGATTTGCTGGGTTCTGTCAAACTACTGTTTGTTTCACCAGTGCCATTATGCAGCAAATGATCTTGGCCAATAGAAAATAAACTGGCTTGGAGAGTGGTATTGCTACAGCAATAAAAGGCTTTAACAGCCTTGAAATCCCAGTTTGTATTCCGTCCAGTCTGGACCATAAGGTTAGTTTTTGTACATTGCAAAGTACTCAGAAATGTCAAACTTACTTCTGAAACTGGTATGCTATAGATTACCCACATGTGAACAGATTGTAATATAGGGCAATAACCCGGACCACACTAGTCAGGACAAGGTTTTCACTAAATATTTTGGGTGAGGGCAAGATTTTAGTGTTGGTAAAGAAATTTATCCCAAATAGGACTAAGTAGTATGTGGACCATAAACCGTATGTGTTCCTTTCAAAATGAGGGATCTGTTATCTTTGGCAATAGAGGAGAGTAGTTGGTTAACATCATGACAAGCCGTGAGCCTTGGTTTACCGTAAAGTTTCTCTGTTTTAATCTTTCCCCTTCTATATTAATTGATGTGAAGAGAACCAAGAAATCTTGGTTCTTTATATCGTTGTCAACAGTGCTTTCTGTTGCTGCAAGATTATCACATTGGTTTTCTGCTTAGTGCCAAGCCCATTGTTAATTTTTCTTTTCCATATTCTGTGGCCTGCATGCCAGTCCACCCCACACAAGCCTGGGAATGTTTTCAGCCAGTTTCAAAACTAGTGGGCATTTCCAGTATAGACAAACTTCCAATAAACCTATTGGGATAAAAGAAATGTATAATACTGGTTTTAAAAAATGTTCAAAGCAGCAAGTCCCTATTGCTATTTTGAGCTTCCCAAAACATGTCTACTGAGCTAAGAGTTCCTCAGTAACACAGGAAGTATTTATTCCGAAATGGACACAGCTTTCTTTATTTAGAATGTAATTAGAGCTTATCAGTATTAAGTGATACAAATCATTTCCCAAAGAAATTCCTTTAAGGTCTTGATTTTGGCCTTTGTAATATTTTGCTGCAAAGATCAGATTGCTTTGTGGCTCTGGAATCAGCCAAGCATCTACAATAGTTCAGCTCTACTAAAGCCTCATTTTTACAAAAAGCAGATGATGTGGCAACTGTTACCTGGACAAGAGATGATGAAGTGTTGTGTCATCAAAAAAAGTAAGCCATTGTCTAACATGTCAAGCTGGTTTAAGAACTTGGAATATAGTTTCCTGTGTGTATGTTTTTTTTTTAAAAAAAATAGCAGGATGTTGTCATGTGAGTCTCTTGAAGAATCATTATATACATTTGCCACCTTGTACGTGTTTTGTGAAAACAAGGCTTTGGGTGCATTCTGCTTCCCAGTGCATATCCAGCTTGCCTTACTGTGGATGGAGAAGTCCAATGTTACAGATAATTCCACAGCTGTGCAACCTAGGTATTAATGAACATGCTGTTTGTGCACAACCAATATAATGTTTCAAAAATCTTGTTTCCAAAGAAGTTTGGAATACCCACCACAATATCTGAGACTACATTTTTATCTGCAACTGAATGCGCCTGCAAGCCCCAAGGAAATCTGGAGGACTTGTATATGCGCATCCGTGTTCAGTTCTGCAGCCTGAGTTTGTTTCTCATAAACATGCCTTTTTCCAATGATGATAGGAGCGTTGTTTGCCTAGTCACGTTTGTGATTAGTTAAATCCATTTTTAATGCCGTTCCTCATGGCTGAACTCTCACCTCACAAGCTGTTGATATTCCACTGTAAAAGCAAAAGCAACTTCAGAGCTTTACTGCTTGCACATAGCTGACTAGTGCAGCACTATACCTCTGACCCAATTAAAAAACATAAATACATAAAATTAAATTGCTTCTAGATAACTGGGATTGGCACAGCCCTGCTTTCTCATTTTAATTTCTAACTTATGAATGGTGCCGCATGTTGACTTAGTTGTTTGTTGCTTAACTTTATATAATGTGTGATTTCAATTCAGCTTGACCTATTATCTAACTCACTACATGTAGCAGTGCATTATATGTAATGTTAGTATTTCTGCTTGAATCCTTGATATTGCAATGGAATTCCTACTTTATTAAATGTATTTGATATGCTAGTTTACTGTGTAGAATTTAACTTTTTTCTGGTTGTGCTCTTCCTTTTTACAAACCGCTAGACAAAGGTAGTTTCTGACAATTACTGATCTATGTTTGTATTGCCAATGTACTTAGGGGGTAATGTAAAAATCATTTTAACAAAAGGAAACACAGATATTTAAAAAATTTAATACTAACTATATGGGAAAAGGGTCCATTGTGAAAACATAGTTTATCTTTGGATTCAATGTTTGTCTTTGGTTTTACAAAGTAGCTTGTATTTTAAGTATTTTCTACATAATATGGTAAAAATGTAGAACAATTGCAATGCATCAATAAAAAAGGGTTAATTTTCTGTACTCTATTAAACTTTGTTGGTCTCTGACTCATAGAGTTAAAGGCTGCTATGGTTAACTTCTCTTTTAAATCCAAAATTCAGCACCAAGATCAACTTGAGTGTGCAGCTTAAGAAAAATACATACATACATACATACATACATTTTACACAATGAATGCTATAATATACCTACTTATCTATTGCACTCTCTGGGATTTACTTTTGACCAGACATATCATAACTCACTTCTAGTCACAGGAAAAGCCAAGCAGTGGTATCTGACCTGGAAGCATGCCTCCTGTCTGAGCCCAAGAAATCTAGTGAGCATCCTGTTTTGTGGATTTTTACCAGGCAAAAGCATAGGTAAAAGCAAAGGTGTTGCTTATATTACTGCCCATAGTCCTTAAAGCACACACTGGGTGGTTTACAAATTAAATATGCAGACTACACAGGGATTTGGGTACTCATTTTACTGACCTCATAAGGATGGAAGACTGAGTAAATCTTGAGCTGGCTACCTGGGATTGAACCCCAAGTTGTGAGAAAGGTTTTGATTGCAGTATAGGAATTTAACCACTGTGTCATAATGCTCTAGTATATGTTCATATCTGAGAGCTAGCTAGTCACATCAAAACAGATGAAATCAAAATTTAGGGATGTTCAAATTTGTGTAGTATATATTTGCTTTGTAAAAACCCTTTTTGGTGTAGGAAGGGAGTTGTGGAATATACAGACCTAGCATCATACAAACATATTAACAAGAAAGGCAAGAACATTTTGGCATGTCTTATAGCACATTTTTATTACTGTATTGATAAACTACATCTTCAGTATATCAACTTACCCAGTTGCATTAGACATCTCCCTGCTCCCAGCATTTAAAATCTAACATAGGAAAATAAGCTGAAACCATTGAGGAGGGCAATGAAGAATCTGGGTAAAAGCCATTACAAGTATTTTTTAAAAAAATATATTAGTAATTTAAAAAAAGAATCCTCTGATCACATAACAAGAAAAGAATAATAATTACCTATAAATACAGTTACAAGTAATTAGGGAAAGATTTTGGAGTAAAGATTGGAAGGAAAGCCCAAAGGTATTCTATGGAAGGGGTAGGTTTCTAGAAGGGACTTGAAGAAAGGGAAACAGTGCCATGTAGGAAAGGAATCCATTGCATGGGGAGCAGCAAAGAAGAATGGCGTTGGAGATTTCATTAGAACTGGTGAGCATGAGATTGGTCAGCAGAATGCGTTTGTTCTCAAGAAATGGAAATCACAGTTGGAGATATATTTAAAAGACATGGGAAAAACATGAGGCAAGGCTGTGAATGCTGGTGAGTTGATGCAATATGTTTCTGCTGGATACAGAAAGGAATAAAAGCTGGTGGGAACATTACAAATGGGAGTTCAGTGTCATCTGAGAGAGAAAAAGTAGGAAGGTGAAAGTCTAACTGTTTAAATGCTTATACACCTTGGAGCAGTTTAGAAATATTTTGCATTAACACCTCAAATCAGACCACAAAGTCATCAGTCCACTCATTGGAACCTGGTTTCTTGTGACACATGCATCACTTTTAAAAGCTGGGGGGAGGGTGAGATATGGCTGTTGTGTATATTTGCTGTTGGAAATACCATGATGAGTTGCTATGGAAAATTCTGCTGCTGTAACAAGAGATTTTCAAATAGCACTGCACCCCACTGAGGATTTCAGCTCTTCTGATTTCTAGGCATGTTTTCCAATGTGACTATAATTGATTTCTTGGCCTGGTATGACAAATATACTCTCCCTCTTTGCTCATGTAGAAACTAGTATCACTACTTAACTTTTCTACTCTATGTCCTTGACCGAGACCAGAGATCTTCAACAGGGAAAGTGGCAGATCAGCGGTGCACCACACCAGGACTTTGTCTTCATGGCGCTGGAAAGCCTCTAAACTGATACCTTTGTTAACTTTTGTCTTACAGAAATCTTGTCTGTATGAGCCATAATCTGGCCCAGTATTTGGATTTCCACCTTGAACCCTGAATTTTATACCATCTTTGCCTGATGAAGAATTCTGTAAAACATGAAAGCTTGCCTTCTTTGTAACTTCGTCATGATTTCATAAAACCAAAACTTGGTTTCTTGGTGTCATGCATTAAGATCTAGCTGCTTCTCTTGTTCTGTAGCTTAATAAGTTTCTCTCTGTATGCAGGGCCCTTGTAGGACTGCTGATGCAAGATATACTTGTTTCCAGTGGTCAAAGTAGGAAAGCCATATCATGAACCAACGTTTTAGCATGGGGTGACGGATAGAAAAGAAAACCAAATAAATTTTTGGGATATACTTGCTCCATTCTCAATACTGTGTGCCTTACAGAATCTTGAGGTCTTGCTCTTAGCAAATTCCCCAATGAAAATGTAAACAAATGGGACTTCAACACCTCACTGAAAAGCCAGGAATAACTCATTATTTCTCCACCAGGCTTTCTGCACAAGATTATGAGAATAAAATTCCCATGTCTGTCCCCTGAATGAAAAGATACATGAATTATCAGCGTAGGGGCTAGTTGGAAATAAGATCTTTGCATAGTTTTTAAACATTCTGGTAGCTTGAAAATATTCAGATAAATTCCAAATGTCCTGTTGAATATTCATTTTGTTTCTAGCACTTACTGATTAGTTTGTTCAGGGACATACTGTACAATGAGAAGACAAAGACTTGGTTAGGAAATGTTCACTGAGGTGTGAACCAAGACAGACATGGAAAAGTGAGAAACTGACACGGGAATTGTCTGCATTGGCTTTGCTTTCAAGTGCTCCAAAGCTCCCTGCCTCTTTCTCATGAAGACCTATTACATGGGTTTCTGAAAGGACATAGATTGAAGGCCCTTGTCACTTCAAGTCCTCCTCATTCCCTTTGAGAAAAAAATAAGAACACAAGACCCATTCTGTATCAGACCAAAGGACTATCTGAACCAGTGTTCTGTTCACCTTGTCGCTGATGGGAAGCCGATAAGCAGTGGAACACTTTTTCAGCTTACAGTGTGTGTTGTAAGCCGCCTAGAGTGGTCAATACGACCAGATAGGTGGGGTATAAATGGAATAAATAAATAAATAAATAAATAAATAAATACTGCTTTCAGTATTGGAGGTCCATTACTGACATCGGACTCCAATTAAGAACTAAAACAGCTGCTGCGGATTTAGATGAAAAGGAGAGAAATAATAGGTTGTCATCCACATACTGGCAGCATGGAACCCCAAAACTCTAGGTGACCTACTGGTTTCATGCATAAGTTAAATAGCATGGGGGACAAAACAGAACACCAAGGGATGTCACAGGCCAACATTCTGGGTCTGAAACAGGAGGGCCCTGGATCGCCTTGGAACTCTCCCCTCCAGGAAGAACCAGAGCCACTGTAGAACAGTGCCTCCAAGGGTCATTCCAGAGAGAGAGCCCAGGAGAATACCAAGGTCCATGGTATTCAAAGCCACTGAGACATCCAGCAGAAGCACAGGAACCACTCCCTTGGTCCAGTTACCAGCATAGGTCATCTAATAAGGCGACCAAAGCAGTCCCTGTCCCATAACCAGGGCAGAAGCCAGACTGAAATGGAGCTAGATAATCCATTTCATCCAGGGATCCTTGGAGCTGTGAAGCCATAACAATCCAGTTAAAAAGAAAAAAAAAATTGAGAATGGTCAATAGTTGTCCAGGCCAGTGTGATTTAAGGAGGGCTTCTTTAGTGGTCTTATTACTACTACTTTTAGATACATTAGGAATCATTCACTGCTCCCTTTATCCACTTGGCCAGTCCCTCTCTGGCTTCTTTTATAAGCCAGTAAGGGCAAGGATCCAGGATATGGTAACTTCCACCTCTCCAGGGATCTTGTCCACATCCTCTGGCTTCACATATAGAAATGTATCTATTATCGTCAGACAAGAAGGGGCCAAAGTTACATCCACAGGACCAACATCAACTACAGCATCCAACCCAAAAGTAGATTCAAGCCACAGAGCACTGGATGAGAAGAATAAAATCACAATAGACTACCTCAGCTCCACCGCCTCAGACCCCAGCACTGGCCTGCTGCTGCATAAAGATGGGCAAACCTGAGAGAGACTGACTCCTCCAGATCATCCAACCAGGTCGCTGTAGTACAGGCCAGGTCAGCATGCTCATCCAGGATCAAGTCCTGGATGGCTGATGTTTTCCCTTTCACTGAGCAGTGTGTCATTCAGAAGGAACACCAAAACTATTTAGGCTATCTGAGCAGGAAGACGAATAACCAACATTCTGTTTCATCCCTCTCTCCTTTGAGGACATAGTTGTCTTTATTTGCCGCACTTCCCTCTGTCGTCTTTTTTTCAGTGGCTACTCCGTTTCCCTTCACTCACTCCCTTGTTTAAATGATACATCGCTCCCTGGGCAGACAATGACCTTATCTATGAAACGGATCGAGGAATAACAAACCAGCAGGCAAAGGGGAAGAGAAATACAACCCCTTCATCTTTCTTTCTTTCTTTCTTTCTTTCTTTCTTTCTTTCTTTCTTTCTTTATTTATTTATTTATTTATTTATTTATTTATTTATTTATTTATTTAAAATAGTTCTTCTCTGCCTTTCTCCTCAAGAGGATCCATGCCGGTTTGCAATATTAAACAATAATAAAACTTTTTAAGAACACACAAAAGCAGTCCCATTTTTAAGCACTCCATCTTAGGACCCCCTTAATATATATTTAGCTAAGCAAACTGGTGCTGGGGGTGCCGAGAGAGAAAGAGAGCCAGAGAGCCACTTCACTGGAAAAGGCGGTGGCAGATGCTGTTGGCGCTGTTTGAGGCGCTCTTCAAGGATGGGACGGGAGCGAGCTCCCCTCTCAGGCATCGCTCGGTGGCAGCTCGTGCACTCATGGAAAAGGGCCGGCAGCGGACCTCGCTTGCAAGCTCTCCCCCAAGACAGTGCCTCTTGCACCCTCCGTCTGGAACTGCAGCCTGCCAGCCAACCCGCCTGTCTGCCGGCTGGCAGGCTGCAGTTCTGGATGTAGGGTGCAAGATGTGCTGTCTTGGGAGAGAGCCAGTGAGTGAGACTAGACTCTTTTTGACTCTTTGACAGCAGAGGACGTGTGGGTGCTGGGGGGGGGCAGGCAAGGCGAGGGCCACAAACTATAATCCGGCGGGCCGCAAATGGCCCCCGGGCCGCAAGTTTGAGACCCCTGGTGTAATCTGATCCATATGATCCAACCAGTGAGAGTTCAGTACATCAACAGCAGCAGCAACCAGTCACAACAAAATCAAATTCTAGAGTACACATGCAAAGAGGGAAGGCCATCTTACTTGAAATTTGAAATTGCTTTCTAAAGATTAGCCACAGCATCTCTTTTACAAAGTTTGCATTACTGCAGATACTGGGATTTCTTTTTATACAGCCACTAGATGGTAGCATGAGGCTTTGAATTATTAAATCATTGTCGCATGAAAAGCCAAATAGGCTTGTTTATCCAGCAGACCTTTGTCTCGTTTTAGATGCTGATGACCCATTAGAAGCTATTTGGATCAAATGAATCCAAAGACCAGTGTGTGAGACTGAGAGAGATGTTCTTATAGCACATTGCATGTTATCTTTTTTCTTACTCTTTTTCTAGCACAAATACCCATCCCATCTTTGTTTTTGATCAACAGAAATGGCCAGCTGCAACTGAAATGGGGTGGCATGCATACAGTTGGTTAATTTTGGGGTTCTGGTATGCGAAAGTTTAGCTGTATAAGCACTCTGTCATTACAGTCTTTCATTTCTCTCCCAGCAGAGAATGCACAGTAACAAAGAGCATCGTTTCTTGGCATACAAATGATGCCAGCCTTAATCCCAAGCATCTCCAAATTGGGGTGTGAAAACCACTGGCAGTCCATGTAGGCCAGAGGGAGAGGCAAATCTGACTTTCTGGATGTTTTTTGAGTGCAGCCTCCCATAAACCCTGTTTTGGCTATCCAGGCTAAGACTGACGGAAAACAATGTTTCACTAGAGGGCCAGCTATATAGTTTGTAGACAATGGAGAGCTGGTCTGACTAATGGTCTGATTCAACATGTAAGATCTGCCCATATTTTCTGTTGTTTAAGGTCAGGAGACAGATCAGCTGTCTCTGTAGACAGCACCAGGAAAACACTATTTTGTCCAGTGGCAGCATATGTGACTTTAAAGCAAATGTTTCTTTCCCTAGGGTTATTGCCCAAAATTAATCAGAAACTATTTGCATTCTGCAGTAATATTGGCTGTCACACAGATATTGATCTAGTAGCAGATTTGTTGAAAACTGGATTGCTTTGCAAATGCAAGCAAACAGCAATTCATTTCTGGGTTTGTTTTCATTTAGAGGTATATTCCCCACCCCAACAATCAATTTAATAAAATGGAATGCATTCAAACTTAAATGTTTCCTGACCTCTTTGATTTGTTACTATTTCAAATTCAGTTAATTAATACTATCAGACTGGAATGTCAATTGCAAATGTCCAAATCTGCATTTTGCAGTTCACCAACTGAATATAGCTGAGAAATTCAACAAGTTGCTTGGAAATAAGAGGGGGGGGGAATCTGGTTTTCATTTACAATACGTCCTTTTTCTAATGAAGTTGCATTCTCCTAAACTACAGTTCTTCACATTTCCTCGCCGAAGGACATACATTGTGTAATAATCAGCCATCTAAGGAACAGCTGCACTTCACAAAGGATTCTGGGGAACATGTTATCAAACACCACTTCCTGAGTTACTAGCAAGGTATTTTGGGCCTTATCCAGATATTATATTTATATACATCCAGACGTTATATATCTCTCTCCAGACATTATTTATTTATTAAATTTATACCCCACTCATCTAGACACATGTCTACTCTGGGCGGCTAACAATTAAAAAATGGAATAAAAACAGTATAATAAAATAAAAAACAATAGTAATATTGTTCAAGATGGGGAAAAAATAAAAACAATCAGGTGATGATAGGAGGGAAAGCCTGCCTAAAGAGCCAGGTCTTAAGTTGGCTATATATATATATATATGTCCTCTGGAATGTGTCATTTTGTAGGGTTGAAACATCCTGGAATTCCTCCTCCAGAAAACTGAGTTAATTTTTTTATTCAGGAGCACAGCTGACATGAGTGCAGGAAAGTATAATGGGGGGTCAGGTCTATAGGGCTGGCAAAACTTCTTGTATCTCTTGTTGCTCACAAAACTGCAAATTGGCACCATCCAGATTTTTCTTATCTTGCCATCAACCCTTAGTGCCATAGCTGATGATGACGAATGCTGAGAATTACAGTCCAGTATCGTCTGGAGGGCCACAATTTGCCCATCGCTTTTTGCCCATTGCTAAGCCCCGCCCCTGAAACAATTACTTATTAAGAACATTTAATACTCGTCTGGAGGGCCACAATTTGCCCATCGCTAAGCCCCTGTCCCTGAAACAATTACTTAATAAGAACATTTAATACACTAATTTTCTGGTTCAAAAATGGAGTTACTCCAGGTGGCAAACACTGCAGATTAAAACACATAGCCACAAAAGAAACCTAAGAAGTTAATAAAAGAAGGAGATGGATTAAGAGTTTAAATGCAAACACACAGACAAAAACCATAAGTCAATGAAGCACAACCAAACAACAGTCAAGCAGTGGCCTTCTAAAACAGCAAGAATTTTCAGATGGTGATTGAAATACCATGGAATACATGAATAGTTCTTATGGATCTCCCATAATAAAGCATCACAATATGGAAGACTCCTTCTCCATTGCTTTAGAGATGTTGTATTTAAACCTGGAGTAAAAAGTGATCTATTTAACAGTGGTACATTCCATCCCAACCCTTTAGTGTTTTAATTTTTTTCTGGCAATAAAAGCGTTAAAACTCGAGACTGGTCTCTTCCTTAGATGGAGCAGCCTCTCTCTTCCAAAAGGAGACATCTGGATTTCATAAAATCTACCGAACGAGGCTGTGCTCCCTCCCCCTTTTGCAGACAAACAGTCAAAACATTCCAATGCTGTGAGCTAGAATCCGGTGCAGAGATCCCTGACAAAACGCAAAACATCAGGTACGGTCATGGCTCACCAACATGCCTTACTTCTGCTGATAATCCTGGCTGGCACTGTCAATGGGCAACAACAGCAACAGTTAATGGACTACATGGAGAGGAGACTGGCTGTCTTAGAGGTGAGGACACAAGACCAGAATGCTAAAAAATATACCCTTCTTTGGGATTTGATTGGGTTGTAGCATGGTTCCCCCCCACACACACACACACTTGTGGTGTTATGGGTGCTGGGCTGCCTCTAGCATTTCTGGAGCATCTAGCCTGAATAGAAGACACCATAATCTAATGCAAGTCTCAGCCTAAGCTACAGAATTTTGAAAAGTAGTTTTGAATTTAAGTTTGAGCTGAGAAGCCATAACAGATGGTCCTACATATTGAGATATGGTAGACAATTGCTCCTGACTATAAAAACCTGAGAGCAGAGAAAATAGGGCAGATATAGGGGCTCCCAAGTGCTGGTGTGGTCTTCACTCTTTTTTTCATGTGGGGAAATGAAAGAAAATCTTGTTCCTTATTTTAGAGCAACTAACACAATACAGCCTCTCATTTCAAAAGAAAGTGATTTTATAGCAACTTTATATACATTTATTACTATAATCTCATTATCTGATAACCCTCCAGTGGGTACAGGGAGAGTTCCTATCTGGATGCGCAACACTGAGTGTAAGCTTAGGGGAAAAATGTCAAGACAAAGTCTCATTAATGTTTAGAATATATTCTGTTTGCTTTAAAAACAAAATGTCTTTGTAAGAAACCTTGACGGTGTGCATAGTGATGGCTCAGAATCTGAAGTCAGATTAAAATATTTCAAAATGAACTGGCATTTTCAAGGTTCTAAACTTTGGAGAATCAGAATCTGAAGTCAGATTAAAATATTTCAAAATGAACTGGTATTTTCAGGATTCTAAACTCAAGCTCATGATTCGGAGAATCTGATTACCTGCTTCATTTTGCTTGAAATCTACAATGCAATGTAATCTGTCAAATCAGATATGACCTGGCCTCTTTTTACATAGTGATCAACATCCCACACTGAGAAATTAATTAGCATGCCAGGAGTAGATTGCTCTCTTTCATGTTCCCCTGTGCCCTAAAATGGATGGAGCATTCCTGGTCAAGGAACTTCCTTTTCTCTGCATTATCCTTCAGGGTCCAACAAATGCCAAGATGAACAAGTATTATGATTAAATGTTAAAATCATCAGAAGAGGCCTTTCTATTGGTCGTGACACCTTCACAGGTGTGTTTGGTAGGGTGAGGACCTTCTCGCTGCTCCCAGACTTTGGAACTCCCTCCCACAGAAGGCCAGACTCACCCCATCTTTGCTGTCCTTCCTCCAGCAGGCAAAGACCTTTCTCTTCAGGCAAGCTTTCCCTGAGTGATTGGCTGCCTGAGTGGGATTTCAAATGGATTGTTGCACTTTACTGCTTTGAAAAGATGAACAAGTATTATGATTAAATGTTAAAATCATCAGAAGAGGCCTTTCTATTGGTCGTGACACCTTCACAGGTGTGTTTGGTAGGGTGAGGACCTTCTCGCTGCTCCCAGACTTTGGAACTCCCTCCCACAGAAGGCCAGACTCACCCCATCTTTGCTGTCCTTCCTCCAGCAGGCAAAGACCTTTCTCTTCAGGCAAGCTTTCCCTGAGTGATTGGCTGCCTGAGTGGGATTTCAAATGGATTGTTGCACTTTACTGTTTTCTCATATGGTAATTGTTTGATCCTTTTGTATTTGTATATTTGCCACTGTTAGAGTTAAATACTATCTTTTAATGATGTAAGCTTCCTTGGCCCTTTTTAAGGAGAAAAGTGGGGTAAAAATACTTTAGACAGAAAGATCATTTTCAGAAACTCTTCAGTGGTACAGTATTTAGATCAGTAGGATTCAAGCTAAACAATGGCTGAAATTCAGCAGCAAATCTTATCCCACCGATTTTATCATCAACTGTGGTAATTTTTCATAAATTAAAATTTTTCCATCCACCTGAACATCTCAAGGCCCCCTTGGGGTTTCTGTCATCAAGGGGAAGCCACTGTGAGCCATGGGATGCGGTGGTCTTTAATTTCTGAAAATTGCAATTACCTGGGCTATTATACTGGTAGTGTGGATTTTCGGAAATTAAAGATGGCTTCTCCTTGATGAAAGGGATCCCAGGAAATCTTTGTGACTTTTGAATGGGTGTGTGTGTGTTAGAAATCAGAAATTATTAAGTTGTGAAAAACCATGCTGGCAGATGATATAATCAGCCTTATGCAGCAGAAGGTCTGCTATTGGATTCCAGCCATTATATTTGCCACTGTGTTTTAAAAAGTACTTATTCAAATGATGGAGGATGTTTGTTTTTGACGGCATGTTATTTCCTCCACCTACATATTTTGCATTCAGTTTGTGCTTTGTTTTATGATTGGTCATTGGAAAGTAAGCACAGGCTTAATTTGCTAATCTGATTTCTGAGCTATGTACCGCTGAGAGAAAATCACTTTGAAAATCACTGGGAATACACATTCCTTATGAGGTCTGTTCTAACCATCAGCAACCAGACTCACAAATCAAGCCAAAACAAAAGAAGCTTAGCATAAATAGCATTAAATATGTTACTATTAAATTAATTCCTTTGCAGAAAAAATAGGCATAATGGCATGAACACATCAAACATCTCAAAGTTTCAAAAGTAAAATTAATGTCCTTTTTGCTTATTGCAATGTTTAATAGTTATGGTTGTGTTTTCTGCTAAGAGCATGTGTCTGTACACTCCTCATTTCCAAACAAAGAGGTACCCATACAGCTCCAGCAAAAGACTACTGTAGTTCTGTTCAGACTCCATAATATGTAACCCCAGTCGAATGCATTTCTTTATCAGAACTATCTCTGAAAGTATATTCTTCTGAAGTAAAACCTCTTAAGATGTAGAGCCTTACTCTCCTGCATATCTATATTGATCATAGCTATGAACTTCCTACCATTCTAGCCTCTTATGAATGATTTCGTGAAGTGTTTTGGAAGTTCAGATCTTGAACAAAATCAGCACCTGACATTGTAGAAGACTAAGCTGGGATGATTTGCATTGCCCTTCTCTATACTCAGTTATTTCTGGAGAAATTTCCAGAGATGCCTCCTTTATTTCATTAACCCCACTGCAGCAAAATAGAGTCCTGTTGCACTTTCAGAGACTAACAAACTTGCAATTGGAATAAAAGTTCTCTTTGAGTTTTATTTGAAAATTTTGACCAGAAATTATGCCAGCTTAATGCGCATGTTTAGTAATCACGTTCTACAATAAGCAGATATCTGGCATCTCTTGAAAGCGTATTTCTGAAAAACACGACAAAACATTGTCTAGCTTGACCATAAGTTTTTTATGTCCCTTCCTTCCACCAGGAACGGATCTCCCAGTGGCATGATCAGAGTAGCCGTTACTCCACTGAGTTGAGAGATTTCAAGAACAAAGTAATTTCCATGCTGGAGGCAGTGGAGAAAGAACGAGAAACACTTCGTGCAGAGGTAGAAAACACTGCGGTAAGAGTGGACCGGCTGGAGCGAGAAGTGGATTATCTTGAAACCCAGAATCCTGCCCCACCCTGTGTGGAAGTAGATGACAAGCTCACAGAAAACCAGGTGTCTACTGCCAAGAAGCGCAAAAATGAGAAGTATGACAAAATGACAGGTGAGCAGAAATCTTCACAGCATGGCTTGCACAAAGCAAAGTGGTAAATAGCTCCATCCCTACCCCTGGTTCAAGGTACATAGTACTCAAGGCCAACCATCTAATTGTAGTAGCTCAGGCAAAAAAAATCTTACAAATGCTTCTGCCTCCTCCCTGCTAGTAAGACAGATGGATCGATAGACTGATCAATCAATTGATAGATAATCCAGCACAGCCCTATTGTTAGGTAAACTTAGTGAGCGAATAGCCTCAGCTGACAGAAACAGTCTGCCAAACATTCCCCCACCACCACCCAGCACCCTTCTTTGGCATTTCAGTTCCCTATATTGGACTTTCCTTTCACTTCTACACATGTCCGCAGCTGAGCGTCCTTTTGGCTTTGGCCCATTCACTTCATTAGCTCTGGAGCTACTCGTATTTGTCCTCCGCTCTTCATCAGTAGCATGTTGGATGCCTTCCGACCTGAGGGGCTCATCTTCCAACATCATATTTTTTAGCCTTTTGTTTCTGTCCATGGAGTTTTCTTGGCAAAGATACTGGAGTGACTTGCCAATTCCTGCTCCAGGTGGATCACATTTAATCGGAACTCTCCACTACGACCTGTCCGTCTTGGGTGTCCCTGCACAGCATAGCCCATAGCTTCTCTGAATTACTCAAGATCCTTCACCATGACAAGGCAGCAATCCATGAAGGGGTTGGTCCCCATACCATAAAACATATGTATGTATGTACATATACATATACATGAAGGCTGCACCAACAGACATATAATGTCTAGATGAAGGGGAGTAATACTGCCATCCTATTCTGAGACCTCACCTGAAATACAATGTCTAATTTTGGTACCACATTTTAAAATGGATGTCAGCAAGCTGGAACTTGGATGTAAGAGGGTGACCAAGAGTGTAAAAGGCTTGGAAATCAAACCCTTTGAGGAACACTTGGGGGAGGTGAATATATTTAGCTTGGAGCAGAGAAACTGAGATAAAATAGGATAGCTAAAGGGCTGTCACGTAGATAATGGAGTTATTTTCTTTTCTGTAGTTCCAGATGGTAAGATCCAAATTAATGGATTCATATTACAAGAAAGGAAATTTTGACTAAACATGAGGAAGACTAATCCTGACAGTGACAGCTGTTTGGCAGTAGAATGGATCACCTCAGAAAATTAAGCATACTTCACTGGAGGTTTTCAATCAGAAGATGTCTGGGTAGCTTTAGCTGTAGATTACTTGGGGTACCTTCCAAGACAGAATTTTAGAGTTCTGTGTATGTGTGGATCTATTTATGCTTAACTTTGGAAGAAATAGTTAAGCTTTGGTGAGTATAATCATGTATTTTTTGTTTTTTGTTTTTTAAAGACAGTTCTCCCCAGCTAACTACATTATTCCTTGGCATGAAAGACTAGTGCTGGTGGTAGTAAATTGACAAGCTTTAAAAATAGTAACATGAAATCTGTGGGAGGGATTGAAGGACCTCAACACTTCTGAAAGATATGTTTCCTGTAATTGAAATCATTTCCACAGAACTGCAATCCATTGCTGCAGTAAGAATGATGCAGACTATTCTGATCTATGGTGCCCCTTTTTGAGTTTTTTCCAGGTAGACAATACTCAGAAATGGTCTACCATTCCTGTCTTCTGAGGGTGCTTTGGGACCGTGCAGCTTGCCCAAGGGCACACAGGCTGGCTCTACTTGCCAGAGATGCAATGAAGAATCAAATTCCCAACCTCTGGTTCTGCAGTGAGATACAGAAACCACTGAGCTATCCAGATAGATTAATAACGCTACATAAAAATTAATCTGTGCCTTTAGTGAGTGTGGTGAATATGGAGAAGTGAAACCTAAAAGCCAGTGATTGTTTTAGAAGAGGTAGAGTTTGCATATATATTTGTGGGACATATGTGGACTCAGACACTAGAGTTGGCCACAAAGCTGTACAAGAATATCTCTGACATTTGGCTTTTGCTTCACTTGGTTTTGCTTTGTAAAAGAAGATTTTAGCGTTCTTCTATGTGCTTGCATGCAGGGTGGATTTGATTTAAATCAAATTGATTTTAATTTTTAAAAAAATCAGTGGTTTTGAACAATTTGAATAAAAAATGAATTTTTGTTTAAATTGTCATTTAAATCATTATTTAAACCAATTTGATTTTTAAAATATCATTTTTACTACCCCCTGCTTGCACGTAATATGCATAATTGCTGTGCAGCATTCCTTGTTTTCAGACTTCAGAGGCTCTGTCTCTTCCTCTTTCTCAGATCTAGTAATAACATAACTGCTTCATGACACTTGATTGTTTCAGTGCTAAGCTGTCTCTTTTTGTGACTAATGGGCGGGGGGCATGGTGGCTGTTCATTCCATTGGCACCTAATAAATGTAATATACCATCTCCGCTTTTTCTGGAGATATCAAAGTGACTAGCGGAATCATCTCAGGGACAAGTATGAGCATTGTCCACAGGCAATCAGCACATAGATGATCAGCTTGAAAAAAGAGTGAAAAGCTAATTGTGATGGATCAGACCAAGATTCAGCAATCTACTCCTCTGTCTCTAATAATGGCCAAATAGATGCACTTGCAACTTCACAAGCAGCATAGAGACAGCCATCCCTTTGTACCAATATCTGGCAAAGAGAAGCATAGTGCTTCTGAGTATACAGAGCTCTATACAGCTGTCATAGTTGATAGCTACTAATAGGTGTGCAATCATTCATCTGTGTAGTTGTGATCTATAATCAGCAGAGTAAGAGATGGTCTGGTTTTCTTCTCTTCTTTCTTGTCCTGCTTGAAATCTCCCACAACTCCAAGATCAATCTTCCACTGCAATCTAGCCCCTAGAGAGGAAGGCCAAGAAGGTTGCTGAGTAGTCATCAGTGTCTTATGCTAGCCTTCCCTAACTTGGCATCCTCTGCGTGGGTTTTAACACAACACCCACCATTTGCAGTAATTTCGGTACTATGGCCACACTGTCTAGGGAAGACAAAAGCTGCAGTCCAAGACATATGGGTTGCACCAGTAGTTAAGAGGTCTGTGGATGACTGGGATTATAGTCCACCACTTCTGGAGGTCTGGGCAGGCTGTCCTAAACAGCAGGCCATAAAAATAGTGTACTGTGCTGTTAATATCGCTGTTGAAAGAAACAGGGCTAGTCCTACTCTTTACTCTACAATAAAAGATTCACTTTATGTAGCAAATGCAAAGATGCAGTTTTTTCCGGTGCCTCCTAAGCTAGCCTCAAGTTGCCTCAAGTGTAGCAGAGGACATGGTCTGGTTAGAGGCAGAAGATTCAATGTGGCATAGGAGGTGCCATCTTCTCCTTCACCACAGGCTAAAAAACATCTTCAGCCTGTTGGGGAAACAAAGGTTATACAAGATGAAAATCGATTTTAATACGTAAATGCTTTGTTAGAAGTCTGGTTGTTAGAGCTTAGCTGCACGTTGTAGCAGAGAAACCAATCCAAAGTCAGTAGAGAAAACAATACAGTTGGGCAGGAAAAACAAAAACAAAAAACAAAATCAAAGACAGCTTGCTAGATGGTTTTTAAGCAAGGATATTTGGGCCCACCTACTCACATGTGAGCTGTAATGTTGGAGGCTGCACTCAAGATTTCCAGGACAAAAGGATACAGAATATAACCAGAATCTTGCTAGGAAAAAGATATGAGACAAAGGTAATTGTACAAATGGTCTGTGCCCTCTGGTGGTGTGTCTTTTGTACAACCACACACTGCTTGAAAAATTGGTGATGGGATTAACACTGTACTGGATGCACTGACTGCTGCGTGTGCAATTAGCAATGGCCAAAATTCTGTTGCTTAACATAATAAGTCACACTAGAGTGCATCCATTGAATCAATGGGGATTTGGTGTTAATGCCTCTTTCATTTAAATGGGCCTACTCTAACGGTGACTTACTGTTCTAAAATAGCAGGCCCATTTAAATGAATGGAACTTATAGAATAGTTGACTCAACAAATCCCCATTGATTTAGTGGGTTTATTCTAGTGCAATTTACTATATTAAGCGATAGAATTTTGGCTATTGGCACAGTGTTCAAAATGCAGGACTGCAGCCAAGACTCTGCTCATCACCTGAGTTCAATCCAAATGGATTCAAGTAGCTCAGGGTTGACTGAGCCTTCCATTCTTCTGAGGTTGGGAAACTGAGTACACAGCTCACGGGGTGGGGTGGGGGAATGTGTAGCCTACATAATTAAAATTGTAAACCACCTGGAGAGTGATTAAAGTGCTATGTGGTGGTATATAAGCACTTTGCATTATGTGCAAGTTCCCCATTTACACAGTACTGTGGCCTAATCTTAAAGTTCATGGGATAAATCCATGGCAGCATCAGAACATAGAGGTGTCCTTCTTAGCAGCGTTTGGGGGGGCCATTCTACCACTCCTGAAAATCCCAATCACACAACCCATAAAGCATATGAATCACCAACACCAATAGTAGTTGAGTGTTCGAGTAATGTTTGTGTAACTTGCCATGTCTGATTGTGGCTAACTGACAAGGTTCCAGGGTGTATCTCAGTCATGTGCCTGGTTATGTGCCCAATTGTAGAACTAAGATGTGCCGCAGAATCTTGTCAGTTAACCATAATTTGCTTTAGTAAAATATGCAAACTTTACATGAAAACCAACAGGATTCTGGCCAATGTATCTCTGCCAAAGGTGTACTATAGGGAGAATGAGAAGGATGCAATGACAACTCTGCAATTGTTCTTCCCAGATTGCAGTGACACGGTGTCCCAGGTGAAAGCCATGAAGATTCTGAGGCGGTTTGGCAGCACAGCTGGACTCTGGACCAAAGATCCTGTGGGTAACTCAGAGAAGATCTATGTGTTTGACGGCACCAGCAATGACACTGTTTATGTCTTTCCCAGAATGAGGGAGTTCACACTCTTCTCCGCTACCCGGAAGGCTGCGCGCATCAGGTTACCCTACCCTTGGGTTGGAACTGGACACTTGGTGTACGGAGGCCATCTTTATTATATCCGACGACACGGCACATTCCAGGTCATTAAATTTAGCCTGGTCAACAAAACTATTGTTGACAGTTCTGTTTTCCCAGCTGAGGAGCAGATCCCTGTTTTTGGTCTTTCTTCATACAACTACATTGATCTGGTGGCAGATGAGGAGGGGATCTGGGCTATTTATGCCACCCAAGAAAATGAAAGAAACATAGCGTTGGCCAAATTAGATCCTGCATCTTTAGACATTGAGCAAATGTGGGACACACCATGCCCTCGAGAGAATGCAGAGAGTGCTTTTGTCATCTGTGGAGCTCTCTATGTTGTATACAATACCCGGCTTCCGAGCAGGTCCCGTATCCAGTGTGTCTTTGATGTCAGTGGCTCCATGGCACCTGAAGATGCTGCCCTGATCTACTTCCCCAAGCGGTATGGCTCTCACTCTAGTATGAAGTACAATCCCAAGGAGAGGCAGATCTATGCCTGGGATGATGGTTATCAGCTGATCTACCGCATGGAGATGAAGAAGAAGACTGAAGTCTGACAGGTTTAGGACTGTGGTGGGAAGTGAATCATAAATGTCTTTCAGTACCTCAACACCTTTCAGCTGTCGCATGGTGGCAAGTGGCACATAGCATGTACAGTAGCCACAAAAACCACTCATTCAGCTGGACCTTTTAGCAAAGAATGATTTCTTGATAACATTAAGTGTTTTGAAGCCACACGTTTCCCGTATTTGGGCTTGGGTGGGGGAACTGCCAACTGTTTTTCCAAGTACAGTTAAAATCAAAACAGCATGGCCTTTAACACGAAGACAGACCGACAGACCAAATGATTTTTATGTTTGGGGAAAAAACATAAAAGTTTTGGATTTAGGCTTAAGCCGATGTGACTTTAACCCAAATAAACAATCCCTCTGCTTGTTTATTCTGGCAGTGGGATCAGGCCCTAAGCTAACTAACCTTAAAGAGGTATATTTTCTGGAAAGTCGGTGATAGTTAATACAATGTTTCTTGTCACTCTGCCTGTTTTAGTTTGTAACTGAATAAAGCCTGAAAATCCCAATTCTTCATAAGTTTGAAAGTATACATTCTGTTTGCATCAAATGTTTTATTCTATTCAAAAGGGTTTTTTTTCCCTTAAGTCTCATAATTCCCCTGATATTGGTTTGGGAAAAAAGCCACAAATTCCCTGTGGTTGTCTAATCAGGCAGGGTTTTTGAGAAATGCTGCCTCACATCTGCCAAGCCCTGGCTCGAATCTCTCCATTGTCTGCAAAATAAAATGCAAATGCAGATGCAAATGGAAAAGAATCCTCTCCCAATTTGACTACTCTTACTTGCCCAATAGATCATCTTGCTGCTTGGGATTGCAACAAGGAGGTGAAACAACCAAATATTGGAGGCCTAATTAAAAATGTACCGACAAAATGTGCCCTAGAGGGCATAGACCACTTTATGTTGGGGAAAATGCCCTTATGCCAGTAGAACTATCTTCTAATGACCGATTTTAGAGATCTGCTGACAAAGCGCTCAGCCAGCCAGACTGCACTACTGGCTACATTCTGCTGGCAAAAGAACCAAAAACGAGGAGTGTTAATAGCCAGGCATGGACAGAGCTACGTTTTGCCATTTCTAAACCCCCTCAGCTAAGGGACAGCTACTACGCTAGCGTGATGTTAAGTCGAAGTGGGCAAAATGTTTCCAAAATCTTTATGCTGGGAGGAGTTTATATTTCAGCACAGACTCCTTAAGATTCAATAGTTCCTCTACAGTTGTGGTACATTGTTTTGCATAAATCAGAATCAGAAAAGTAAAGGTCTGGTTTAGAAAACCAGCACAATGTGTTGGGAGAGGATTGATGGCTAATTAAAATATGTGTGAGATGCAAAATAAGGGTGCTGAAGGGAGGGTAGAGGTTGGTTGACAAACTGGAAGAACAGCTTGAACATATGGAAATTATTCTGCAGACTTTAGTTCTGCTCTCCAGTGGGAACTTTTTTACCATTTCTTGGCTTGCTGTCCTATCACTTTTTCCAAATTTAACTTGACTCCAAGTCTGGCTGGAAATTAATGGGAGTAAGATTTATGCAACAGCTGGACACTGATGTGGCTGCAAGAAATTCCCAGCAAGTGTGGATACAGAGTGGATACAGTATTTCGTCTTTGGTGTAACTGGATGCTTGGGGCCTGGTGGGGGGATTTTGAGATTCAGAGTAGTACTGGTGCTGTCTTTTTTAGTCTGGGAGAAACTAGAGCTTGAAAGAAATCTGTAGGTAGAAAGAAAAACTGACTCCACCGTTCTGCTTTGGATGTTAAATTTGCTGTCTCATTTCCTGACATAGGTTCCTGTATCATGGATGATGCAACATTATAGAAAGTTGCTTTGTACCAAATTAGGATCAGAGTTTATAAAAATTACCTTTTCCAACCATAATTTCCAGAATTCCCAATATTTCTGTTGGGTGGAGGATTTGGGGATCTTTACTCTCCTCCCATCCCAATAACTCTGGGACAGATTGGTCTACTAAGGCAAGCAGGCAGTTCTGCAGAATTTCAAGCCCAGTTTTTTTTTCAGATCAGTACATGTTACCCAAAAGAACTGACCCTTCAGAAAACACAGAGCATCTTAGTCTGACACAACCGTTAATAATAAAAGAAACTCTAGCAGAGATGATAGTAGGAGTCCTGGGATGCAGTCATTCCCCAAACCCATAATGAAGTGAAAGTGACAGTTTGGTCCCAATGGTCAGTGCATTGATTCTGATTAAAGAGCAGCACTAGCAAGCTGCTTTGCAGATACTGTACTCTGAAGATTATGCTGGATGGAAAGTAAAAGTAAATTTTCAACCTTTTCATCTAACTTAATATTGGCTGCTTTGTTTTGACTATATTCCCCTAGGTCTGGTGCAGTTCTTAGGCTGAAGAGAGTAGCTACCATTTTGTTTTCCTAAAAAAAGTCCTCTTCTGATGTGCATTAGAGCAGTGGTCCCCAACCTTTTCTGAACTACAGACCAGTATAGTGTCTGGGCGGAGGTGGCCATGCGTGGGGGCCAGGGGCACCCTTGCATGCATACATGGGTGGGCGGGGCACCAGTGCATGCATGCATGCATGCATGGACAGGGCACCCATGTCTGAGTGGGCAGGGCAACCATGTGGGGGGCAAGTGTGCATGCATGTGGGGGGTGTACATGTGCACGTGCGGGGGGCATGTGTGCAGGGAGGTGGGAGATCTGTCTCTGCAGCCCAGTCCTGCCAAGGCCACAGCCTAGAACCAGGCCATGGACCGGAGGTTGGGGACCTTGGCATTAGAGGACTGCCTCTTTTGCTACTTGCTGGGAGCCCCCATTGTCATGGAAAACAGTTGAATATCAATGGAAGTATACATACCTTTATTGGGTGGCAGTACTGTTCCTCCAGTGCTTAATTTTATTTGAAGGGTGGAGTGCTATTACACAGCTCAAAAAAGAAAAAGAAGAAGAAGAGCTTGGAACAGGCTTAAGGTGCAATCTGATGGGATCTTTTGGAGTTGGCTGGTGTGGGCTAAATAAGTTTGCTTGGGGTTGGGTGAAGGTGTGATATGCCATTGGGGGTAATCCTTGTATCCAAAAGACATACCGGAGCTCAATAAATCCTATTTGGTCTGGCTCCTTCCATTTTGTATTTCCAATATAGTGAGGTGGCTTAATGTGAATCAATTCAGGATATTGGCAAATTCAGCACATCTTCTGCTGCTTGGTGGAGGGGCAGAGGAAGTGAAATTTATTTTAGACTGCAGTAGACCATCGCTGATGTGCTGCACCAATTATTAAAAAAAATTACAGTGGTGCCTCGCAAGACGAATGCCTCGCTGGACGAAAAACTCACAAGATGAAAGCGTTTTGCGATTGTTGTGGTGAATCACAAGAAAGCTTTTTCTATGGCTGTGCTTCGCAAGATGATTTCCCCCCACAAGAGTGATGCCTCGCAAGATGAAAATAATTTGTTCGTCTTGCGAGGTTTCCCATAGGAATGCATTGCAATGCATTCCTATGGGAAACCTCGCTTTTTGCAAGATGAAAATTTTGCAATATGATTCTACTCATGGAACAAATTACTTTCGTCTTGCAAGGCACCACTGTATTTGCCTTGTCTTCAAGGGCTGTAGAGAAATTGCCCACAGCTTACTTAATGAGTTGTTTGATGAGTACCACTGTATTTGCCTTGTCTTCAAGGGCTGTAGAGAAATTGCCCACAGCTGAATCTGGGATCACCGTTTAGTATGGCAGAACAAAGCCCCACTGAATTCCATGTGGCTTACTCTTGAATAAACAAGTTGGTGACTCAAATTTGGAGAAACAGAGTTTATCTGCCAATGAATAGGGTCAATTTCACTTTCCTTTTTAGTTAAAGCATGGGTGGCCCCTGAGATCTGGTTCAAATCAAGCCCTGCAGCAGAAAAACATATAAACATCAGTTCTAATGAGTGAAATCTTGTAAACAAAGCACTACAAAGGGATTGCCAACGAGTTCCAGACACTGCTGTAACAGTGCTCTATTCATTACTGTGAATAGAGGTGACACAGAGTAAGTGCTGGTAGATGCTGAGAGCAATGTAAGTGTATTGCCAATTTCATGTCTGTTTTTGGTTCTTAGATCCTCCTAGCAGCACCCCAGTGGCCATAAATCATGTATTAATTAGTGTCAATGACTTTTATTGAAAAAGTTTGGTTAGGCAACAAAATCCTGCAGCCATACTGGCTGTAAGTGTCTAGAAGTTGTAGACAGTGAAGTCACATTTCCAAATTCTGTTATTTTTAATCTTGGATTAATTTGATAAAAACACTGAATTTACTGCTGCAGGAAAAGGCCAGCTTCTTAGCTGGACTCTGCATACACTGTTTTAGGTTCCCTTTAAAACAAATCTGCTAACTGTCTGGATAGCTGGATCCTTGAATGGCTCTACAGAGATGTAGATTCTAGGGCAGGGAAATGAGAACAATCCTGCCGCTGACTCTTGGCTTCTTCTCCCCATAGTTTTGCCATTCTGGGTCAGGAGTGAAAAGAGAAGTCATCACCCATTCTTTGGTGGTGCATGGAATTTTTAAACTGTCTGCTGGATTTGTACATGGTAGACCTCTGCTACTTAATGAGTTGTTTGATGAGTGAAGGCTCTCTCCAGCTTCAGGTCCAGCCAATTTAAATGTTAATATATGTGACTTGTTACCTCCCTCTGCTGAGTGCTTGAGTTATTCATAAGCAAGGCCCAGGCTGTTGCAATTCCCTATCTAATCATATCTTCATGTACCTACAACTCATGCCATTGATTGCTTAGCTGCAATGTTGGATAAAAGTTCAAATCTTAAAAAAGCCCTCCAATTTATGACTGCGGGATATTGTGCTTCTGTAGCCATGGTTCAAAACACCAGGAAATGGTCCAATATTGCTGCACAATACTGTGCCATGCTGCAATCAGGAAAAAGACTGCCAAGCTTTATACAGTATAGAAACAGGCAGCCTGAATGTTGACAACACCAGTGGCAGCAGTCAAGATGGTCAATAGGCTACCATCTTGTACTCACTACCATTTGCAAAGTGACATCAAGCAAGGGATAATCACAGAAAGTGACTCCTTTTTACATCAGTTAACCATTACTCACCCAAACACAAAGCAATTGTCAGGGCTGTTTTTCAACAAGTGTAAATGGTAGTGAGCACAAGAGGTATCCTGTAGAACAGCGGTCCCCAACTCTTTTGGGATCGCGGACTGTTTGGGGAGTGCAGGTGGCCAGTGCTGGCCTGCTGGTGCTGTTCTTGGTGGGGGGCAGCCAGTGGATAATGAAAGCATGTGATAGGAGCAGCTTTACTCCTGATTGCACATAATAACCCACAGTAAAATGCTTACTGTACATTATCTGCAACATATAGTTCCAGCCCAAACCTGGTCCTTAAGGCATTCAAGATTACAATTCTCTTCCATATACATATTGTTTTTATTTTTTAAACTATTTTAACCCATCTTATACAACACCTCATATCCCCCATCAGATTCCAGTAATGTATGAACTACAACATTGTTTCTTTTCA